CTTTTCTCAGACAGATTTTAGTATTCTGTTCATGTGTTGAATTTCTGATATTCTAATGGTTACATGTCTGGGTGAAGATTTATTTTGGTTATGGTTAATTTGGGTTCTGTAAGCCTCACGTATCTATATATCAGATTCTCTTTCCATGTTTGGAAAATTTTCTGTTACTATTTCTGCAAGTTGCTTTGAAGGTTATTTATGTGGACCCCTGCTTTTTCACAGACACCTATCAATCTTATATTGTTTATCTTTGCATCATCTTGCAGTGTTGAATTTTGTTTCCTGGTTCCTTGTTATTTTTAAGAGATCTTTTCTTTTGTGGTCATACTCTTCCATCCTGTCTTCAAGATCTGAGAGTATCTTTAGCTTCATTCAAATGGTTTTGCCAGATTTCAATGGAATTTTTAATTTCTTGAATATCCCTTTCCACCATTTTCTTATGTTCTTCTATTTTTTATTTAAATCTTCTTTACATACACACAGCAGTTCTTTACTAATGTTTGTCATTTCATTTTTCACTTGAGAGATTATTTCTGACCTGATTTCCTCTATAGCTTCATGAAGTTGTTTCTTTACTTCATTTGCTATCATTGCAGAAAGTTCAGTTGTACAATTTCCAGCACCTTCCATTTCAGTGTCTCTTGGGTTTTTTCTCAGTGGGCCAGAGCACTGAGACTGCCTGTTGCTCTTTTGTTTTGTCATTTTCTTCTGGGACCCATGTGGCTGGTGAGCAACCTCCTGATGGATTGCATTGGAATGCTGCACTGGCCATCAATCCTCTGATATCCCCATGGCTAGCCAGGGCACACCCTTATCTATGCTGCTGGATCTTTGTGCTCTGTGGCCTGTGAAGCTGGCTGGGTGTTCCCCTGATGTACTGCACTGGGTTGCTCTGGGATGCTGGGCTGGTCAAAGTTTGGATCCTCTTGCTGCTAGCAGGGACAGACTTCAGGAGTGTGTTGCTGGGGCCTAGAACCTGTTTGAATAGCATTGAGAACCTCTGGCAGTCAGGTGACTAGTAGGGCTTGCACCCATAGTGCATCACCACCTAGCACCTGGCTGGGTGGAGTTCAGAACCCTGGGGACCCAGGTGGCTAGGTGGAGCATGACCTGAGTATGGCACTGCCTGACCTTGCTTCTGGCTGGGAGAGGAGTTCAGGGCCTCTGGAGCATGCAGCTAGCCAGAGCACATCCCTGGCATATGGTCTGGGTAAAGGATTTATAAGACTTCTTTGTATTATTCTTGTAGTTTTTAAAGTTTGAGATAATTTCTCAATAAACAATTAAATGGAAATAACTAAAGTCACAAACTGGCTGTTTTGGACTTGCCACCAGCCCTCCCAAAGGATTCTTTCCTGCCCTGAGTACAACCCATCCACGAACACTTCCCAGCCACAGGTCCCAGGGCGACCCATGGAAGGTAATCAGTGGGCTAGCTGTGACAGACAAGGCTGAAAAGAGGAGAAGCTGGCCTGAAAGGTGGTGATGGAGAAAGAAAGATGAGCAGTTCTGCAAACCAGGAGCAACTGACTGCTTTTGGGTGCAATAAAGGAGAAGAATATCAGAAAAAGTAAAAGTGGCCTTTGTATTTAAAGGATGTGGAGAGGAGCCCACAACCAGCAAGGGTTTGGCTTTTTCCTCTGCCTAGATCTGGGGGTGTGGAGTATATGTGACCTCTGACTGGATGCGGTGCTTGGGGCGGGCGTTGATGATGCCTCAGGAGCTGATTAGAATTTTCTTCACATGCAAGGGAAAAGGAAAAAAGAAGTTGTAATTGGGGAAGGAGGAAGTGAAGCATCCCCGATCTGGCCTTCTACCATGTTTGAACTACCGCCATAATGTCCTGTAATTTATTCTAGGGCAAAACTCTTTCACTGACAGGCTAGAGAAATCAAGTGAAAGAAAGCGTGGCTGGCTGGGCTTGGGACAGAAACCAGACACAGCCTGAGTCGGTCACAGTGCGGGGCTGGCGACGACCTACAGATTCCTGGAGCTTAGCTGCCCTAGAGCTGCCCCATCGCAGACCGACACCTAGAGCCTCCACTCCCTAGACCAGCCCCTGTGGGAACGTGGTTTCCTTTTATGGCTCTTGTCGCTTCCCATGAATCCTTCCTGAACTAATAAATCTTTATTCCTTATAATCAAAAGAACTCAACCAAATCTTTCTAAACTATTAACTTCCCCATAAAATTGAAAACTATGTGACCTTTAATGATTTTGTACATAGACTCCTAAAATCATTTATAACACTCTGCCACTGCTATATCTGGCACTGGAAAATGATTCTTTAATTTAAAACCATTTTTTTACTCAATCATTTTATTAAATCTATTCTTTCCCTAGTATTTTCTAGCTTCCTTTTTAGGGCCAATTTTTCACATTCAAGAACCCAGAGTTCCTACCAGAAAGGCAGATGCTGTGTGGTCAGCTAGGTTCACTTGCTAGCTTTCCTGCCCCAGGCACAATTCAAATTCCTGTGTCAGCCAAATGGCAAATGTGTCCCTCGCTTCCTCTTCCGTGGGCCTAGCTCTGTAAGGGCAGAACCAGTGACTTTCTCCTGCATCTGCCTAGGGCTTTCTCTTCTGGGTGTGGCCTCACTTGAAGATGCCTGTGAAGAGATTGCTTGCAGTCATCCTATCCCTACCTAACCGCATTCCTGGGGAAAGGCAGTGAATCCAGGGGTGGGAGTGCACATATGTAGTCCAGTTTTTAGGGTGTAGAGTCCTGGAGGCCAAGGCTAGCCTGGGTAATAGCAAGACCCCGTCTTTTAAGGAAAATTTTAAAAAGCAATTAAAGCATTCCTAGGCTCTGGAATCAACTATTGTTCATGTAAAACCCTGTGCAGAGAGGAACCCCTTGCTTTTGGAATGGGAAGGTACAAGGGCAAGTAGGGACAGGTCCCAGCCTAGCTTCAAGTCAGGACTGAGCCACAGCCAAGAGTGAAAGTGAGCCTCCGCCCACTTCCATATGCCCTCTGCGATGCGAGAGCTTTAGTCCTAGAATAGCTGAAAATGTTTGGGAAATTCACACTCTAAAAATATTTCTTTTTATGTAGGCAAGATAACGCCAAAGAGTGACAGTGGGTTACTAAGAATGCAGTTCCCTCCTTATGTAATGTGGGCAAAAATAAAGAGTGTTCTGGGCCAAAAATAGGGCTGAGAAAGAAGACTGTGAATAAATAGCACTGACAAGTCATTATTTACAGAAACTGCCACTGTAACTGACTCTGGGGCCTTGGAGTTTAGGAGTTTATATCTGTGTGGCATCACTTGTTCGTTGGGTCTTCCGGGTCCCTCTCTTCATGTTTACTGTAAACAAAGGTATCTATAAGGAGACCTTTACAGGACAAGTAGTGTCTTAGTCACTTTTGGTGTGGTTAGGACAAAATACCCAACCCAGACAACTTAGAGGAGGGGTTTGTTGGACACATAGTATTCAGAGGTTTCAGTTCTGAGGTTGGTTGGCTGCAGGACAGAAATGGCATGGCAGAAGGGTCTCCTTGGAAGAAAGCAGTGTACTTTATGGGGGTCAGGAAGCAGAAAGAGAAAGGAGGAGCTGAGGAGGGAGATACACCCTTCTGGGTCACACTCCAGTGACCCACCCCTAACCAGGCCCTGCCTCCTAATAGCAATTTAGCTCCAAGGCACCTGGAATCTGGCTGCCTCCCACCTTGCATGCATAAGGTTTTGAGGGACATTCCAGCTACAACAGCAGTAGCAGCACAGTGCACCTTCTCCTGGCCTGGCTGCAGAGCAAGAGGAGAGACTCTTGATGTAGGCATGGGTGTCACCACAGTCTCCTTATGTGGCAGATGTTGGGCAGGGTGCAGTGCTGATCCCACCACAGTGCAGATGGGGTTTTGAGGCCACCATGGCCAAGTGGCTCATGGATCACAGGCCCCTATGCTAGGGCTATCTGCTCCCAGCAGCTAACCCTCAGATCACAGCCAGACACCCAGAGTTTTTGTCTGCATTGCCCACTTCTGGTCCTCCAGAAAGTCCCACCAGTGTTACTCTCCACTGTTACTGAAAGAGTTTTGCTCTAGAATAAATTACTGTATGGTTATGGCGGTCGTCTAACATGACGGAAGGCCAAGCGGGAATGCTTACCACTTCCTGCTTCTTCCTCAGCCTTAATCTCAACTCCTCTTCCTGTTGGCACATGAAGAAAATTCCAATCAGCTCCTCGACATCATCAGTGCCCACCCTAAGCACCACCCCCTGCTCAAAGGTTACAAATGTCCCATTCCCCCCATATTCTGGTTGAAGGAGACAGCTCAGCCTCATGGGTTGTGTGCTCCTTTCCACATCCTCATCTCAATAAACCTGTTTGTTTTGTACTTTTACTTCTTTATTGCACCAGAAACCTCTTTCATAATGGTGCTGTGACTCGGATGGCAGAGTGCGTTAGCTCCTGAAAATCCGTCCCAGTTGGAGCTACCCTGCCTATGAACCACCATTTTTCCCCTCTGGAACTGTTTACTTGCTGCCACTAATCCACATGCAACAGCAACCTTCCTCACTTATCACAGGTGAGCTGCCATGTGGGGTTTTCTGTTTCCATTCTAAAATTTGCAAGCTTGTGTCAGAAAAACCTCTCCTTGCCATCCCTGAACAGGGATATCAGTTTTCAGGCTCTTAGGCCGCATAGCCTGAGGCAAGTTCTCTGGGCCCCCACCCCACACTCTTGGTGATGGCTGAGGAGAACTATATTGGGACTTTACCTGTCTCACTTCCAAAACATGTGATGACCTCTTTTGTTAAGTGTGATCTGGGACAATTTTCAGTTCCTTGGGGGGAGCTAAAGCTTTTACATCTTGAGGCAAAACTGTTCTTTTGGCTCACTTTTAATTTGGTCATGGAGAATACTATTTCCTGTCCCCCAAAAACACACCTCCGGGGTGTCTGGTTTATAATGCTGGTGCTCTTGGCCTCTAGAAGGCTATAAAAGCCAAAAAGCTGATCTTTTATTTATGCTTTTGTCACAGTGGCAGCAAGTTGGCAAAAATCCTTCATTGTAAGGCCTTTTTCACTTTAAGGAAGTGTCCTTCTCATTTTATTTTATTTTATTTTTTGTACCAGGGATCAAACTCATAACCTCGTGCTTGCCAGGCAGGCACTTATGCAGCCAAGTTAAATCCCAGGCGGATGTGTCCTTCTCTCACTCTGTCTTATATGATGTCCCAAATACTTCTGGCTCGCTCTGCTGCACCAGACTCCTTAGATGATGTGTCTCCGCCCCACCATATGCAGTCTCCTGCATATGCAGCATTCCAGCAAGCTGCATGGCTCTCAGCAGCCATCTTGCTGCAGCTTGTGTAGGGGGCAGTCAAAATATAAATTAGGGTCTTTCTCTGCTATTCTTATTTCAAGAGATCTCTATTAATTAATCTACAAAAAGGTTCTCACTAGTCTATTTATTATAGTTCAAATTGGCCAAATATATTTGAGTGCACTCTGATGTTGTAAGATGATTGTCAGTCTATATATTTGTTGTCTGTTTGTCCAGTCTGTTTATATTTTACAGATCTGTCCATGTTTGTCCATTTGCCTGCTCTGTAAACATCTGTTCCTTTTTATTTGAACTCCACAATCTTTTTTCCTCTTCTTTTGAATTTTCAAGGTTTCTTTGGGTTATAGGTTAAACAAACATGCTTCCACCTAGGTTGCCAGCTGGTCAAAATGATGTAGAACTAGTTAGACAAAATCCCTTGGGGTGAGGAGACATTGGACAGGATTCTAACTAATGAATAAGAAAGTGGCCACCTGGTAACTTTAACCAGCTCTTGTTCATTAATTGGAGGCCCCAATAATCTCCAAAGCCTTGTGGGAGACACCTCAACTAAAGTTCATATGAGTAAGACAATTCATTATTGCCGATCTGATGGTATCATTCATTCCTTCAAATGTAGAATTGAGATTGTTTATTATGACGTGTTTTCTTTCAGATCCAGACGTCTGCCTTTTTCTCGTGCTCCAGCCACGTTGGAACAATATGAGGTCACTGGTATAATAATTTTTAAACAAAAATTTATTAATGTATAAATAGTAAGCAGTCCAACCAATGTCACAAATTTCTTTAGTGCTCAAATGGTAAAACACTGATGGTTAATAGAAAATAGTAGTTCCATTTAATGTTCTATGTTAAGTTCACTGCCTCTATTGCACTGTACTAATATCAGTCTTCTGGATATTCAACAACTAAAATTAAGAGATAATTATAAATTCCTTTTGGATTCCTTTTGGTGGGATCCACCAGATCTTTTCCAGAAACAGGTTATATGATGCATATGGGCCATAATTAACTATACTCAACAAGCCTTAAATGACACTTCAGCTGATCTCTCTCTTAAATAAAAAGGTAAAATTAATAAAACAGACCATCTTCCAAAAATCAGATGGCACTAGACATTCTAACAGCACAGGAGGTACTTATAAAATTGTAAAACCTAAATGTGTGTATGACAAATGAATGGCATGTCAGTTTCTACAATTCCCTGGACCTCCTTATGGGAAGCCATTACTAAAATTATACTCATAAATACCATGTTGATTGTATTATTTGACTCCTGCATGCTTAATTGATCCTTTGGCTTTGTCTCCTTTCGATTTAAAGCTCCACTTACCCAAGGTAAAAATGCCTGTTGTCTACAGAGGGCCACTAGTTAAAAACTCTGTAGAGTATCCCTAACTTCAGTTCAACAACTTTAATGCCCTTCAGCCTGAAGAAGCCAGATCGGTCTCTGCCCATTATCCCTCCTGGCAGTTTGGGTTACTTCTTCAGAGAAAAAATGCTACAGGCATCTAAGTCAGTTAAAAATATTATAGGCAGTCACACAGGGCTAGGGCCTCAAAATAGCCAGCACAGAAAACCAGATGTCTTGTGACTGTGGAGGAGAAAGATACTTTCTACTGTGGGCTAGATCCTAAGACAGAAAGCTAAACGTGGCCCTCAAACCCCACAGGGACACCTTTTAATATGGCTTTTTGTGTTTTCAACAACAGAGATAAAAATCAAAAGGAAAAATAACAACCTGATCTTTTAACAGTGACACTTGGAGCCCTGGGATAGGTAAGCGGAGACAAGGTGGAGCTTCCCAAGCCCTTCCCAGACCATGCTTCAGGTGCAACAAAGAAGGACATTGGGCAAGAGAGTGCCCCAACCCTGGCATTCCTCTGGGGCCTTGCCTCTATTGCCATCTCAAGGGCCATTGGAAGAGTGACTGTCCTACCTGGCAGAGAGCGGGTAAACCATCCTCTAACTCCTTGCCCTCACAGGAGATCTCATCACCCCCAGACTCATTGCTGACTGATCTACTCAGACTTGCTGGTAAACATTGATGGGGTTCAGGGCCCACAGCCCCCATTAAGGTGTCCTTCTCAGAGCCACAAGTCCCACTGGAGGTCTCAGGTAAAACATTCTCTGTGCTTGTGGACATAGAGGCCATATATAGTGTTCTTCCTGAGTTTTCAGGCCCTTGTACTAAGTTTTCAGTCTCTGAGGTGGGTGTTGACGGCCAACCTATGCAGCCTTTGCAGACAGGGTCTATTCCATGCAGGTTCCAGACTGTCTTCTTTACCCATAGCTTCCTAGTAATTACAACATATCCCACACCTGTTTTAGGTAGGCTCTCCTTCAAAAGCTTACCTTCTCCTTTACCTTCTCCCTCCCCCACAGCTCTTGTCCTCCAGACGCCCTCACAGTGCACTGAGAAGCTATCTTCTCCCCTCCCTTCTTCTCTGGTTAATCCCATTGTTTGGGACACCTCCAGTCCCACCTGCTCTACCCAAGTCATGCCTATTTTAATTCATCTTAGGGAATCTTTCCATTTTTTTCCTTGTGTTCCCCAATATCCCATAGTTCCCAAACATTTACAGGGATTTAAACCTATAATCAAGCACCTTTTAGACAATGGTTTTCTTAAACATACGCATTCACCCTGTAATATTCCCATTCTGCCAGTACTCAAGCCTGGTGGGTCTTACTGTCTAGTGCAGGACCTTAGGATAATCAATAACACTCTTACCCTAATCTACCAAGTGGTGCCAAATCCTTATACCATGCTCTATCATATCCTTCCCCCCACCATTCACTTTACAGTTATAGATCTTAAAAATGCTCTTTTTTTTTTTTTTACCATCCCCCTACACCCTGATTGTCAGGATTCCTTTGTGTTTATGTAGACTGGCCCAGACACTCTGAAGTCTCAACAACTTACACCTGTCATCTCTATAGTAAAACCTCTTCTCAGGGACACATACCACCTCCTTCCTTTGCTATTCATCAATTTTGTAGATATACCCCTGGTCAGGACTGACAGGTAGATTTTACATACATGCAGTACCACAAAACTCTCAAATATCTTCTCACCTTTGTTTGTACTTTTTCAGGATAGATAAAAGCCTTTCCCACAATCAAGGAGACTGCTGATGTAGTTACTAAACTTCTGTTATAGGAAATCATCCCAAGATTTGGTTTACCTCAGAGTATTCAGTCAGATAATGGTCCAGCCTTTATTTCTCAGATCTCTCAACAGGACTACAACTAAAATGGAGTGGCCCCTACCTGGTCTTCCTCAGAACTTCAACAGTGGTCAGGGTTGCTGGACTTCAATCCTGGCTGCACATCACTCAAGCTAAGCGGTGCCCTCTTAAGCCTCCCTAACTCTCCTGACTCAACATTCTGAGTGGTCATCTATCGTCCATCTCCATCTTACCAAGGTCCCACAGCCACAATTTTCAGGCTAGGTCATGTTTTGTTATCCTATTTGGTTCCTGATCCCTTACATTCTATTAGTTAATTTTTCACTATAACTATCTTACTTCTCTCCGTCCTCAGATGTTTAGTTAAACATGCAATCCCTGTGGGTCTAGGCTCTCATCTCCCTTACAGTGACACAGCCATGGCCTTCCCCTACCTCTACTCTGTAATTTCCCAAATATGATTCAATCATCAGGCCTTATATTTCTTGTGCTTCTTATTCTTTCCAGCTCAACTCCTAGACCAAAGACACGCCCTACCTACCCACACCTTTAGCTTTTACCCTTTCAGATGAGGTAATAATCATCTCCATAACTTCACGATTCCTAATCCCACACTTATTTTTCAGACTCTAACTCACTGTGCCCTTGATAGAATGGCATATTTAAATCAAAGATACCTTTCCTTCTGCCTCTCCTGGGTCCTTAAATATGATAATGCCCTGCCCTCTCATAGCACCTTGTCTCTTTGTTTTCCCAATCTAGGATATGAGCATTCACCAATGATTAATTCCTTATCTTGCCTGAAACTCTGGGTACCAGCTTCTACATGAGCATCAACCGTTACCCTACCAACCTTCCTAAACTCCAATACGGCACCCCCTTTCAGCAGTAAGTAGTAAGAGAGAGACTTCACCCTTTTCCTAACAATAAAAAGATGGGAATGGAAGAGTTTTGCCCTAGAATAAAATTACTGTATGGTTATGGTGGTGGTCTAACGTGGCAGAAGGCCAAAGTGAGAATGCCTACCACTTCCTGCTTCTTCCTCAGCTTTAATTGCAACTCCCCCTCCTGTTTGCATGAGAAGAAAATCCCAATCAGCTCCTCACATGTCATCAATGCCTGCCCTAAGCACCAACCTAAGTTCAAAGGCTACATATGTCCCATACACCCCATCTTCTGAAGGAGACAGCTCAGCCTCATGGGTTGTGTGCTCCTTTCCACATCCTCATCTCAATAAACCTGTTTGTTTTGTACTTTTACTTGTCTATTGCACCAGAAAACTCTTTCAGTTACAATGTTAGGCACTGTCCTGTCTTACTGGGATCACTGCCACAGCATTTTAATGTAGTCATCTAACCTTGCTGTACTCTCTCTCTGTACTGAAAACCTTCTAAAACCTTTGCTTTTGAAGGACAAAGTCCTTATTCCTTCACCCCTACTCTGGTCAGAACCTCTGTGCAGATCATTGCTCCATCTGGAGTGTGTAACACTCCTGGAAACCCAATACCATTCACCAAAGCTGATTCTGCTTTGTGTGTAACTTACTCCACAAAGCCTGCTGTGCCTGGCGGGGAAGGAGTAAAGACAGAGCCTGTTTGAGCTGGCAGGTGACTGAGCCATCTTCTCTATGGACACTGGATGGTTAGATGGATCTTCACACTAAAATGGAGCTTGTATCCAGATAACTAAGCATACACTTATCTCTAACCTTCCTTCTTAGCACAGTTTAAACCACTTATTCCACATAGAAGTATTTTGCTGGACAATTTTAAATACTGTTTTCAGTATATCATTTAAAAAGGGGCCTCACTAATGTTTCCCAAACTCAAACTCTTGAAATCAACCAATCCTGCCTCAACCTCCTAAATAGTTGGGATTACAAATGTAGACCACGCTCAACTTTTCAAATTTTTATAACAATCTGTTGCATACTTGCTGTTGTCCCCATTTGGCAGAAGAAAAAGAAATGGAAGCTTAAAAAGACAGGTAACAGCACAGCATCTATTAGTTTAAGAAAGGCTGAGATTTAAAATGAAACTTTGAACACTTCCCGGAAGGTGGCTGAGCAGTGAGCAGCCGAGAAAGGGCCTCTCCAAGATTTGGTGTTCAGACACCAGAATATAGCAATGTGAAGAAGAGAAGGAGGAGGAAAGTGGGTCTCTGGGACCCAGCAAGGATCTGAAGTGAGAACTGAATCCTATGGGAAGAGCAAAGGGAAGAGAACTCAACAATGAAGGAGGTGGAAGGCGGGGCTTTCTCTGAGTCCGGCTGCTTGGGTGGGGCAGCACCGGCCTGCAAACACATGGTGACTACTGGTAACACCAGAGGCCTCTAAGCAGAAATGCACCATGCAGCAGAGCAGTGGATTGCAGGGGCTGCTGAGTCATTTTAGGCCCAGACATCCTAAAGCAGCCATCTTGGAGAGAGGCTGGCTAAGCTCAGAACTCAAAACAGCTGTGGCCTGACTCCAAACTCTGGCTCCCAGTGTCAGGGTCAGGGAGCTGGACTCAAGTCACAAGGCACACAGCCTGCTGCAAGCTGAGCAAATCTGTTTCCAGCCTCACAGCCAGAAACCAACCAGCACTTCAGTGAGACTAAAGGTACAGGCTCACTGGTATATCCACTACCCTGCCAGGAAGCTTTGGTTGGTTTGCTGAGATGAATCAACTAGGATCTAGATTATGTCTGTCCACTGTCTACCAGTGACAGCAGAGACACACTTTAAAAGTGGACATTTTTCTTTTTCTTGTTCTTATTTTCATATATGTGAACAGCATTTAGTTTTGCTGGTATTTTTATTTCTTGTTTCTCTCGTGTCTTACTCACCAGTTTCCCAAAGTTTACATGTTCCTTTGTCCTCCAGCCTTGTTTCTAAGTTCTTCCTGTTTGTTTTTTTTCCTTTTGAATTTGAAATGGAACTTTGCCCAGCTAAGCCCTTTTCACGGACGCTCATGGCCTTCATCAGCTTTAGGTGGCATCCATTCAGCAGGACAGATCTGGATGCTGCTCTTAGGAGTTGGTGTTTGGCCTCCTATCTTCATCTCACATCCACCAGGAAAATAAATAAATGAAAAAAAAACCCTCATACTTAGGATGCGACCTTGTTTAGAAACAGGGTCATCATAAAGCCCAATATGATAGTGGGACAGGAGGAGAGAGACACATAAGCAGCTCATGCCGGAGGGCCAGCAGCTGCAGCCAAGAATTGTGGCTACTGGCAGAAGCTAAGACTGGCAGGGAGGGGTTCTTTCTCCAGGTATCAGTGGGAGCCGGGCTCACCTTGCTAATGCCTTGATTTTGGACTTGTGGTCTGCAGAGCTGTGTGATGAGTCACCCGGTTTGTGACAGTTTATTACAAAGCTCCAGGAAATCAATATAGTGGCTAATTGCTCTCTTAGGAAATTCCTTTTGTCTCAGATCATAAGTACTGCAGACATGAATTTGCTTTCCACTGTCCAACCAAGCTACTGGCTCCCTTCAGCATGAGCCAGCCCAGCCCTCCATCTCCTGTACATGTTTATCCCACCTTGTTCTAAAACGAAAGAAAACCTACAAATTGAAACAAAAAACAAAGACTGTATGGCAAAGTGCTTCTGAGCTGCATCAAGGTTCTGACAAAAGCAGCCGAGCCCTGAATCAGAGTAACTGACAGAGGCCCAGGGTGGTCATTCTGGGCTCCCTGCAATGGCTGGTGAGCCACCCTGCAACACTCCAGCAGGAGGCAGGACAAGCTGCCCACTAGTCCATCCATGACCACATATTCTACAAAGAAGTTATGCAAACGTCAATCAGCTCTCATTTGTGTCCAAAGGACTGGCCAAGTCCACTTTACAGGCTGATGCCAAGCCCTGCTTCTCGGAAGTGCAGGAAAAGCTACAGGGGCTCTGTGGCTTTCAGGAGTCAGTGCTGCAGTGTTCTAGTTCCATGGAGGCCAGTAGCCAGAACTTAAGGCAGCTGGAAGTCAAGTAACTATGTTTCTTTTTCTGGAGGTAGTCACCCATTTATTCCCTAACTTATTCACACCCCGTTTGCAGGGCACTCGGCCCTGTCCATTACTGTGTGCACAGAAGGAAGAGGGCAGAGTGTGAGTAGTGGACAGGGCTGTGAGTCTGAACAGATCACAGCTTCCTGACTGTCGCCTTATCTTGCCTCCAGGTTCTAGCAAGGCACAGTGCACAGCAACCAGAACCTCACCAGACCGCGGGTGGCAGGCGCTCCAGGGAAGCGCCATAAGGGACACAGTCCTTGCCTCTGGGAGCCATCTCTGTGTTCTACCAGGAGAAATTTCTCTGTCTCTGAATGCATTCAGTACTCTAGACACAGATGTGCCATGGTCCTTTCTTAGTTTCTTGATGTCTCAGTGGCACTGGACACAGCTGCTCAACTCTCACCTCAGTGACATTTTTTCTCTTGGCTTTCAAAACATCTTCTGGTTTCCCTTCTACCTCAGTGGCTACTCTCCATCTCCTCTGCCAGCCCTCACATGTATCCCTGGCTCAGCCCCCGGACCTGTGCACTGACACACCTTAGCTGATCTCAGGCTGACCATGTCTTCCGTGCTACTCCTGCTGTTCAGCAACTGAACCACAAATGTAGCATCTGAAAACCAACAAACCAATGTCTTTCAGTGTCAGTGTCAGTGTCAGCAGCCTGGGTATGGCTTAGCTGGGTGGCTCCTCTCATGGTCCTTCAGGAGATGACAGTCACCTGCAGGCTGGGAATCCATTTGCAGGCTCTCACACAAGGCTACTGGCAGGTGCCCTCGGCTTGCTGCGGAGGTGGGGGAAGGCCTGGCTCTCTCCTGAAGTTGCTTGTGATTTGGCCATTGAGTTCCCTCAGGGCAAGTGGAGAGAGAACTAAATCGGAATCTGTGATGTCTTTTATTAGTTCATCGCGGAAGTGATACACCAGCACGCCTGTACTCTGTTGTACAATGGGGCATCTAGGGGACTGCATAAAGGTGTGAATTCCAGCACACTGGTGGCAGCGATCATTGGAGGCCATTGAAGCTTCTGAAACTATTCTGACTCACAGTATTTACTCACATCACCACCAACTTGCCCTTTTCCATTTCGGTGTATGACATTCTGTCTACTGGGGCCTAAAGCCTCCAAGTCACCTCTGGCTCTTCCTTACAGTCTGTCAAGCCCGTCAGCAGTACACGTCCTATCTTTCAAACCTGTACTAAATCTGATCCCTTCTTCCTCCATGGCTATCACTGCTGTCCAAACCATCACCCCTCCTCTCTACTGTGTGCATACCACACACAGCAGGTTTCTCCAATGTCCCATCATGGCACCTTTCTTGGTCAGAACTTTGCTTTGATTGCTCCTTTCAATTAAGAAAACAAACCCAAATTAAGGCTTGAGAGATTCTGGCCCGTGTCCCTGTCCAACTTTCGAAAACCTTCTGTAACTCAACACTGCCCTGGAGATAAAGCCCAAACTCCTTGCTGTGGCTTACCTGGAACTTCTTGATACTGCCTCAGTTTACCTTACCATTTTAATTTCTTGCTCCTTTTCACACTAAATAATATACTACAGCCAAACTTAAGTGCACTGTTCCCCAAATACATACTTCTGGTGTCTATCTATTTTGCTTCCTACGGTGGTGAATACTCCCCAGCCAGTGTCAGTCACTGTCATAGCGGCCACAGCTCCACCCTTTTTTTTTTTTTTGCAGTACGGGGATTGAACTCAGGACCTTACGCTTGCCAGGCAGGCGCTTATGCTGCTAAACTAAATCCCCAGCCCTCAGCTCCACCCTTTGACAGGTCCTTACCACAGCACTCTTGCACACTCTGGCCCCAGTGGACACTTTTATGTGTCTGCCATGTCATGCCTGCCGATGTCTCACTGACCACAGAAAGCCAGGGCTGGGTCTAGACAAAAGGGACTCTGTACCCCATAGGAGCAGCAGCACAATGACGAGGTGAGGGAAGCATGGGGCGGGGGGGGGGAAGGGAGGGGGTCTACTGTGCCCCCTCATATACTGCACGGCTCCTACTCGTCTTCTAGTCTCAACCCAGAAATCACATCTTCTGGGATGATTTTGCTGACCCCAGAGCCTGAGTGAAAATCCTTTTTGCCAGCACCCTAACTCTACATGTGACTGTCCACTGTCATCAAATACACAAGGGGAGTATACAACAAGCAGACCTCCAGCACACACTGCCCATTGCCCATGCCTCCCAGTTCATGGTTATGTTAATTCTGGCTCTGACAGGAGGTCACAAGTAGATTACTTCTATGTTTTTAGTAGGCACTATTAACTGTCTGTGAAATAAACATGTAAAAATAAAATGGGGCTAACTGCCTTTAAAAAGGCATAAAGCCAGGCACGGTGGTGCATTCCTGTAATCCCAGCACTTGGGAGGATGAGGCAGGAGGATCCTTGCAAGTTCTAGACCAGCCTTGGACAAAGTGAGCCCAAGTCCAGCTTGAACTGTGTGGTGAGATCCTGTCTCAAAAAGACAAAAGAAAAAAGCATAAAGTGTTCTTGAGACAATTGCTTGTTAGTAGACTGCAAATCTTTATGAAGATAAGCAATAATATCAAACTAAGTGAAGTAAAACTGAAATGCCCCTCAGAGGGAAGATAAAGAAAATTAGTCACAGAAACATTACTTTCCTTTTTATTAGATTCACAGTGCCTTTTAAAATTCCAACCTCTCCGTTATAATTTCTGTTACTAATATGCTCTGATAGCAGACAAACTGGCTTTGGGAGTCTGTCTGGTCCAGCACTCAGTCCTCAAGCCTGTATCCGTGGATTTGCAAAAGCAACAGAGTCGAGCATCTCAGAGAAACACACTGTAAAGGCTCACATACAAAAGTGTATATACACACCCGATGTGTGTACAGATTTTTGTTTTACAAAAATAACATGGTTACTGATTTCTTACTGTTTAAGTTTTTTGAAATTCTGTATTATTTGTACCCTTTTACTGTTTTGTTTTTTTCTTTAAAATAAAAAAAAATAACATGGTTTGCACAGCTCTATCAATTCTTTAAAATTACATAGGAAGAATTTATACTTCATTATGATTTTTCACTTTAGAGTAAAGGTGGGAATTTTAAACCTAAAAATAATTTAAGATTACGGAACAGAGGCCATATAGCAATAGACTCGGTAGATCTCAATCTTCACATACCTAGAAATATATTTCTTGTTATTCTTATTCTGGGTTCTGTATATCCCACAGATTTTTTTTAACTAAAAAAATCAAGATAATGCAATAAAGTAATCTCACTATGTTAGTGTGTATGCCAGATTATATTAACTGCTTGATAGTTTCTATGTAGTGGGGCTGTGTTTTTAGCATGTGCTAATTTCTACTTAGGACCCAGCAGCAGCCACCAAAAACGAAAGCATGCCATATAGCAAACGGGAAAACATTTTGCAGGTTGGTAACTTACAAGGCAACCAAGAGCAAAATAGGTAAGAGACAGTAAATCTTATAAGACATATATAAAAGTAACCTAAGTGTCATTTAATTTATAGTTTTATCAGAAGACATTTAGCCTACAGTTAGATGGAAAAACTATAGAAAATTCTAGGGTTTCTCCTAGAACAGTCCAAATGTTCATCAAGTTAATTAGTTTAATAAAGATGACCACCAGGTGACTGAACAAAGTCATGTAGTAACTAAAAAACACAGACTCTGAAACTAGAAGCTACCACCAAAAAATCCAGATATCTTGAGTGGACATATGCTGCATACTGGATATTAACAAATACTGCCACTAAGTGTGTGTGTAGATTATGAAAGCAAGGCCATAGCTCCAAGGATAGTCACAGGGGGAGGAAGTGAGACGAATGCTGTCTTGCAGCAGTGAAGATGGAGGGCTCCCGATGATTTTTGCCCCTATCCACAATGGCCATCTCTGTGGGGCAGAGATCTTTCCTTAATGCTAGCCCTGTCTCCCTGCCCCTACCAAGGTACTCTAGAGCCTGACTGCAGTTCCCAGAAGTCCTCTGGGTGCTGGTGTGACTCTTGACCATTCTGCGGACAAGCCCCTTCCTGGCCCTCATAGGGACTCCCTGGCCAAAGCAGGCAGTGCTGCCTCCAAAGTCACCGCCGAGATGATGCCAGGAGACTTAGAAGAAGGACGTGTCTGATGAAAAGGCACCTGCAAGTCTGAAGTCCTCTTTGGTGAGGACGCTATACATCCGTTGTGGCAGGGCTTTGGAGTAGGGTGCAGGGCGTGGCACAGTGGTGCGCAGGATGAGCTCCCGGCCAGCGGGCGGCGGGAAGTCCGACACCATATTCTGCCTTCTCTCCTCGGGGGAGGCTGTCCTCTTCAGTTCCTCCTCTGGGGAAGTCATGGCTGCAGCCTTAAACAGAATCAAATATGAAGTTTAAAAGCAAGCTGAATGCTAAATTCAGGAACTTTTGTATGATAGTGAATAAACATGATAAACACATAAAAATGTCCTACATTACTCAGTAATGCAGCCAGCTATATGTTATGATTACTCAAGGAAAAGAAAAAAATGCCAGAAGCTTGAAACACTGTATAAGCTACTAGACTGGTAACAGGCAGAGAAGGGAGAATGATGGCCAGGCAACCTGCTTGGAAAAGTGCGGGCAATGTTGAGACATCTGGTGAGAAGGAATCATGTTGCTATACTGCCTTCTGTTACTTGAAGCAATGACCAAGTCCAAGGCTGATGTCCTCAGTCCAGTAAAGAGCTATCTCTACAGAGTCTGGAAAGATGTGTGTGTGTGTGTGCGTGTGTTTTTAAGGTTTTTAATCAGACAAATTAAGACTGGTGACACTGGTTTTGTTTGCTGGGCAGCTAATGTGATAGGTGTGACAGATCCATACTGCAAAGGTCACAAAAGAGAAGTTCTCACAATTAAAGACACTAACTTTTTCATTAAAATTGTACAAAATACATGCTCATAACGGCTTCCATTTTTAACACTGATTACTTCTGTCACAATACCATTTCTTTGGAAAAAGAATATGTGTTTTGGCAATGGAAACATGAAATCATGTTAAGTTAAATATTAGCAAGAAAGGTATGCAAATTCAGACTGTTAAAAGAGGTGGTTAGTTTTAATGACCTTATGAAGTTAAGAGGAATGGAAAAGAGCAAGGAGCTATGAGGGACAAAGGCTATTTTGTTACCTCATCAGAAGATTCAGTCAGCTTGAGAAAGGGTGAGAAAAGAAACAGTGATGAAAGGGAAACAAGCAAGATGGATTAAAAAGAACCAGACAAGAGATTGTAGGATCATCTCAGAGATCGCATGCACTACGTTAAGGAACATGATTCTATCAAAAGAATATTTAAGATGAATAAAGTGACACCATATACAACACACCTAGCTGTCAAACTGAGCAGACACATTCCTCTACTCATGCATCTGATGGGTCAGCAAAATAATGTATAGGCTCTTATTTAGTGAGGCAATGACTTAATAAAAACCTAGCTCTTTTCTTTCTTAAGAATTGAGATGCTTTAAAAAGTGTTTATGGCCTGAAAAAGAAATAATCCAGTGACCAGATGTCAAAGAGTTATTCAATGTAGCAAGACTGAAGCAAAATTTGATCATTTTCGTGGAATTCCACTTAAATATGTATGTACCACAAGCATATCTAATTATGATCAAGTTTATTATAATTTACCATGATAGAAAAGTTCTAAATATATTAATACATAAAAATTATCAGTGAATAACTTTTTAAAATATGTTAAAATCTTTCATTATTACACTTAAGTGTCTAATATTGGAAAGTTACATGAATAAATTTAATTTATATTAGTGAGACACTTAAGAGCTGAGTTTCAAAAGGTACCAATTAGATGCTGGTTATATGGATAGAGTTTATAAATTCTCTAAAAATATTCAGTATGAATCCTAAAAGTTACATTATAAATTATATAATGTGAGGCAAAATTATATAATTTCAGTGGGATTAGAGGGGATTAAACATATAAGAATAATGGAAAGATGACACAGTCCCATATTTAGTGATAGCAAAGTAGAAATAACAAAGTAAATACATAGTAACAAAGTAAATTACATAATATCTTAGTAAATTACATAATCTAGTTTAAAAAATGTTAGTATCAACTAGATGCTAAATGTTGACAGTATTCATCAGTGGTTGGTAAGATTAAATGTTTTTTTCTTTAAGTTTTTGTACAGTGAAATTTTGGGGAAGGGGAGTAAAGAGGCTGTTTCAAATATGGGGTAAAAATTTTGATTAAGTACAAAACAAATAAAAATCTCATCAGTCAAAACATAAATCCTCTTACTACACCCTTAAAAAATTATCAAAGAGGAAAGTGTTTTTACAATATGAGAACTTTCATTGGTGGTTAACAAGGATATATATATGCCTGTTAGCTTCTGTATGGTAAGCTGGTGAAGATCAGTACAGGATATAAAAACAAACTCCATTCTTGTTTCATGTCAGAGACAAAAACAAAGCAAAGTCAGCATCTATTGTTTTTTAAAGTCTGATTTAAGGATATAAAATGTTTTTAACTTGAGATTCTTAAATTTAAGGAGCTACTGTGTACATAACCTCAGTTTTTAGCTCTTCCTAAAAAATATAGGTCAGTATATTTGACTATGACTTTGACTATATTAAATAGTTGTACTTCAGACCAACTTGACAGGAATTTAAAAATGCTATTCCATATGTATGATAAATGTTTTTCATCTTTGGTTCTGAAAATTACTTTTCAAAGCTGACCTAATGCTCTAGTTCCTAATATCATCACAACTGGTGGTAATCATGATTTCAGAGCTTACACACATCATACTTTTAACCAGAATCCCTATACTAATGTGCCCTAAAAGGAGAACCACCTGTGGGATGCCATTCCCCGCAACCAGCAATCAGGACACAGTGGTACTTCAGTTCACAAATGCTTTTGTTTGTAAACAGAAGTTTGGTTTTTGTTTGCAAACTCTGCATCAGATGACAAATACAACCACAACCATCTTTCTTTTTTTTTTTTTTGTCTTTTTGCTTTTTATCGGTACCAGGGATCGAACTCATTGACTGCCTGCTTGCAAGGCAGGCACTTATGCCGCTGAGCTAAATCCCCAGCCCCACAGCCATCTTTCTTACACAAACACAGCCATCTTTTCCAAAATCGTACAACAAATTAAGTTTGTAAACCAAGGTATCACAGTACTATATAATTTCAAACCTCCTACTTTGACTAGTGGAAGTGATGAAAACAATTTTCAAACTTGGCATTCTTGCTGTGCTAAGTTTCCATAATCTTACATGTCCAGTCTTTAGCTGGATTTCTTCATTCTAAGACTAGTTAGATTTTGGCTGAATTGTGCATTCATTTAGAAATCCACCCCGACGCCCTCAGCATAGCTCTGGCTACTGCTAATCAAGTAACTACTAGCTTCTGTAACAATGGCTTTTCTGAAAGTCAGGTTGTAATTTAACATTTTACTTTAATATGCAGAAAAACCAATGGATTTCAAAATCAAAACCACAGAAATCAAGAGTCATTATTACTTTAGTGCCTAGGTTCTCAGTAGCTGTGTAACCTGAGTTGCATCTAGGGGTCAAACCCACATCTTCATGAGCAGAGGCCTAGAGATCACGATGCAGTGAGTAAGGCATCTCACATACCCTTTGAGCATTCACAAACAAGTTGTGAATGATCCTGCCAGCGTGTCCTCTTCCTGCCCCAGTGACTAACACTTCAGGCTGCTCCAACAGGCAACTCACAAACCTAGGAGACAAAAGCAGTAAAAGAATGGAAAGCCAGCTGCTCAGGCCGCTCTGTCCACTGTCTCAGCTGAATTTTGTTGACAAATCCTGAAATCAATACTCATTCAACCTATGAAACCTGGAGTAGAAATTTTATAGACTAGCTACGACATTTTAGAATTACAATCTGCTCAGCTGACAATCTTATTGCTCTTTCAATTGTATTCATGACATTTAAAAAAAAAAACTTGTGTACAAGGATGCCAAAACAAAACCCATCTGTCTGTATAACTAATATACACTTAACAAAAAGTCTGTCTCTACCAAAGTGTAAGAAGAAATAGTCTGTTTCATACTAGAAGCTTAGAACATATTACAGTAAATAATAGATCAAAAAATATTTTTTGTAGACTAGAAAGCAAGTTTTATTTATCCAGCAAAGCAATGATCCCTATTTCTTATTTTTGTTTTTTCTTCAGGGCTATTTTTGCGCTTAAAACATATAGTTTGCTGGGCTGACTTGCAATTGTAAGCTGCACCATTATGTGCTGGAAACAGTGCTTCTGTGCACGCCACAGACAGCATACAGCGGAACTAAATGAGTTGAAGTACAGAGGCACCACACTGCACCACCTGCCCACTAATTCATACTTCTATTTTAGGAACAATTCCCTTGATTACAGCTTATTCTTCTCACTTAAAAGGAAGACATTTTCAAGAGCAAAGTAGGCTAGAAGAAATTTTCACTCAACTAAAGATAAAAAATTCAAACAAGAACCTGTTAAAAGCTGTAACAAATGCCTTGTCATATGGTATTAATTAGCATCAATAATCCCCTTTCTCATGAAAAAGCTGATGAAAACTTTAAAATTGTGACAAATTCAAGACACGAAACAAGCTATTTTTGAAACCCTTTTTCATATATTAAAACACTATGAAGAAACAAGCAAAAAAAAGGATAGCTTCATACTGATGTAGGCTCCGCTGGTAACAGGGTTCCAGTGTCAAGCCTCTTAAATATAGAAAACCTTCCCTGCTGCAATCATTTGCCTCATCTGGGAGAAGCCATGTGGTCATTCTTTTAAAACACATTTGCAAGGTACACATGATGAATACCTTTGTTATCACAAATATTGTTCAAAATAAAATAAATAGATACAGCATGCAGATACTGCAAATAATTTCTGCTATTATGGTTAAGATAAAGTGGAGACTGAAAGTTTGGGGATGCTGTGAGGAGTGGAGTTAACAGCTCCTCCAGTCCGTGGCACCACAGTTCCAGGGGCAAAGGCACCCCTAGAAAGAGGCCTTGGTAGATGTTTTCTGAAAGTTGCAGGAATAGAAATACCTAGTGGCGACTCAGAGCAAAAGTCAAATCCTAGGATAATTATTTCTCCAACTTTGGCAATGTCTCTTTCAAATGATACATGAGTACTACAGAATAGCCTCAATATCCTATTACAGTGTTTCTAGAGACCAGTGGTTTTTCCTACTGTAAGAAACTGGAGGTAGCCAAGTAGCAATTACCTTTCAAGATCTTCCTTTTCCTCTTCCTGTTCACATTTCTCAGTTCCAAACTTGGCCTTCAGGGATCGAGCTCTTGCAATTATGGCTTCCACACTAATAATCTGATGGATAATTTCCTAACAGTGGAAAAGGAGACACACATTGAGAGAAATCAGAAACGTCTTTTAAAAATTTTGTGTCTTTAAAATAATTATTGCCAAGTAGGGTGGATTCTTGGCAAGATTTTGACACCACATCAAACTTACTTCTAATTTCTTATCTTCTGGGTTGGGGAAATGCAAAACTTTACTCGAATGGGATACAATCTGCTTTATAATCTTCTTAATGGAAGAAATGTTTTCCAGACTTTCTATTATAAAGGGATCAAAAGTCATCATTAAACAAGTCAAAAACACTTTCATTTCAGAAATGAACAATGACTAACAAAATAAGTTATTTACCTTCTTCCTTTACTTTGAGTACAGCTGCATGAATCACGCAAGGTAAAAGGTGCCGAGCCAGGTCTGCAGGTTTCTGGATTGCCAAATAGTGTAGCACCTGAAGGGGACACATGGTTATATGGTGATTAGAGTAGGTACTGAATGTGAAGCAGCCTTTTTACCCAAGTACAGAATCCCTGACCACAACTCGCATCCCAGCAGAACAGTGTTCTCTAACCAACTGTCTCTGCTGTCCAAGGTAGGTAGCTGCCACTTCTAAAGTAAGACTGATGTCACTGAGAAAAATCTCAATCTTTAAAAGTGATCAGTTTTGTCAAAACTTTTTTCTGTTTCTAAATATGGTTTACACAAATTAGGAAAATACAAAGAAAAACCATCTGCAAATTATATCACCTATAGATAATTGTCATGAGCAGAGCATTCCACGTTTTTTTTTTTTTTTTCCCTTTGTTGCTGTGCTGAGTATTGAATGCAGGGCTTTGTTGCATATGAAAGGCAAGTGCTCCACTACTGAGCTACCTCCCCAGAATTTTTACGATTCTTATTTTGTGATAGGGGCTCTCAGTAAGTTGCCCAGGTGGCCTCCAACTTGCAATTTTCCTACTTTAGCCTCTTCCTATAGTTAGGACTACTGCATCATCTTTATTGATGGAATTTTCTTTTTTTTTTTTTTTTTTGTTATTGATGGAATTTTCAATCACCTTTACCATATATAAGCAATCTGTAGAAAAACATTTTTAATCCATGCAAGTTTGATGCTCTGCACCCAAATTTCTACCTGTATCTAGAGATGACTCTTCCCTGAATTTATAATCTATAATATGAATATAGTTGTAAAAAGTTTCCAATTCCAACACAGCTTCCATATTTACCAGTTATCTCTACTCTAGAAGAAACGCTCTCCCCTCACCCCTGTATCTTAACATAGCTATATTTTATCAGTATGGTTCCAATAATTCTTATTTTTTCCTGTGGTTATAATTCATTAATGTCCTTAATTACTTGGTATTCAAACTGACTCAAATTAGCCTGACAGTCTCTTTAAGGAAGCTCGTGAAATTTCCCTCTTTTAAGCATTTCTTTACTTTCTATCAACATTGGATATCCCAGGGTCATTTTATCCCTCCTGCAATCTTAAAAATCAGTCATTTTTCTGAGGGAAGCAGAGTTACTTTTATTGAGGAGTGTTTTATAAATCAAGATATATGTGCTCCTGCTAATGAGGTGTCACTACTTCTAGACTCCTTCTAGCAACTAGCTTGTATATTTATGTATACATAACTACATAGGCATATACATATACCTATTCTAAATCCACACCAGTGTGTCAAATCCAATCCATTTCACTGGATTATTCCTTGCCTTCTTCAATTTCATACTTGAATCTCACATCTAGTGCATGATTTTTGGCTTCCAACAGCACCAAGATATTAATTACTCATATAAGTATGCAGTTTCACCCACATTATAAAAAAAAAAAAAGCCTAGAAAACAGGGTTCAGGACTTGTTTGCACCACAAATGAGGGTATACAGCCAAATATCTTAGGAGCCCATAAATCACTTGGATTAGAATTTCTCTCCCCTAAATTCCTTTCAGTATACATTTAGCATTGGGATTATGATTTAGTTGAACTCATAGAAATCATTTAGGTGTGGTGGTATTTTATGTGGCAGCTGGTAATTGCTTTCTATCTCTTCTATGAAAATTAGTTCATTTAAGTTTCATTCTTTATTAGGGGTTAGCATACTGCATTACTTAGAAAACCACCTGATTCAACTAGCCTTTCAAATTTATATACCAAGATGGAAAATAGCTTTTTACAAAAAACAAAAAACAAAAAACAAAAAACTTGGGGCTGGAGATTTAGCTCAGCGGCATAAACACCTGCCTTGCAAGTGCGTGGTCGTGAGTTCAATCCCTGGTACGGATAAAAAAAAAAAAAAAAAAAAAAAGAAAAAAAAGAAAGGAATAAAGAAATCCTGTGTCAATTATTTGCCCCTTTTGTTATTTCTTACTTTTTTACATACATGCATTTCTATTTTCCCTTGATTAAAGCAGTAAATGGTTTATCTATTTGTTTTTAATTTAAAAAAGAACTACATTTACTAGTTTAATCTTTTTTCTAGCTCTTATTCTTATAGAGAAAATGAGTAGTGCTCTATAATGTCTCTGATTAAATTTAAATATGAATCTACTCTCTCTTGGTTCCCTTTGTAATCTAATCTTCATTTTTCATATGGTTATCTTTTTCTTCTACTTCCAGCCTAAAATCAGTTGTCCCATTACTTGTGGTATTTTTTTTTTTTTGCGGTACCGGGGATTAAACTCACGACCTTGCACTTGCCAGGAAGGCGCTTATGCCACTTAGCTAAACCCCCGCCCGTTTTTTTTTGTTGTTGTTGTTGGGGCTCACTTCCTTTGTATTGAGAAGTTCAGATTAAACCTGACTTTTCAAATTGTTTATATTTGAATAATTTTGATGATATTTGATTCAGTATGGAGTGCTATATTACAATTTGTTTTGTTGCTACTCTTCTGAGAAATATTTCCATTAGCTTTAAGATCTGATTTGCTTCATTTTTAAAAGTAGTTTTTTAGTCTGCTCTCTTCTGTTCCTAGTAATTTCACAGACAGTTTGAATGCGTCTTTCCTGCAGTCTATCTAGTAGAGTGTGGGTATTAAGTGAGAAAGGCTGATAGTCCTCTTTCTTTTTCATTTCTCCCAGATCTTTTATTTTCTCTTATTGTCTGCCTTTTCATCACTAATTTATCTCTAAGAAGAATCACTCTTTCTCTTTTTTTTAATTAATTAATTTATTTATTTATTTATTTATTTTTTCCTCTTTCTCTTTTTTTACCGGTACCAAGGATCGAACTCACAACCACACACTTGCAAGGCAGGTGCTTGGGTTGCTGAGCTAAATCCTCAGTCCCTACTCTTTCTCTATATAATCACTCATCACTTAATGACAGGGATATGTTCTGAGAAATGTGTTGGGCAATTTCATCATGTAGAAACTGAACAAAGACTACATTTAGAGAAACCCAAATGATATGTCAACCAGCAGACATTACCACTCATTGCAATAAAAAGACCTGGGTTCTAGCTCTGAGTAATTGAAGCATGAGGATAACAAGTTAAAGTACCACTTGGAGAACTCAGTTGATACCCTGTCTCAACATAAATGCCCATTTTTAACATTTCTGATAGATACCATATGAATGTCTTTGGCATTTAGATCTAAAATCTTAAATGTAAATAGTAAACACAAAGTCTCACTGCATTTCAATGCTTTTTCAGGTGTGTTTAAAGCTCTTATGTCTACAAGAGCAAGTTTGTAAGATTTAAAAATAATTGTCATTCTAGTATTAGACACTGAAACCTCATTTACCTTTTCTGCTTCACGTGTATCATCAAAGAGCCTTCTTTGTCGTCTGGCAGGTATTGGCTTAGCTGTTTCCCAGGCTTCTACCCACATGTTGCTTGGAATTTTCATTCGGGCACTCAGTTCTCCTTTCAGAACTATATTCCCCTTATCATCAGTCACTTCCTCTTCAATATAATCCCTGGGGGAATACCACCTCACAAAATCTTCCAGAAGACAACCAGGGTTGGCTGCCTGGAAATAGGACAAGAAATCCAGCAAAAACCAGATAAAGATCCACATTTACTTATAAGTCTGTTTGCAAAATTATGTTTATACAACAAAGTCTAAGTTTTAGTGTCACCTTTAACCTTTAACAGATGTTAAACTGCCAAAAGCATCTTATGTTTTGCTGTCTCAGTTTTATAGAAAATGCAAACAGTTTCATTTGATGAACTTAAAAAAACTGCATGTATATTTAAGTGTATAAGATAGATAACTCTATTACTAAATTTTTGTTGGACCATTGAACAGAACTGTTTGCAGTCTCACTGTTTGAATGTCCACTTTGTATGCTTTAATTTTGTCTCTTGAACAACTATTTTTAAGATGACAATATGTAATCTATTAACTAGTGATTTCTTACTGTTTATTTTTTTGAAATTCTGTATTATTGTACCCTTTTTCTGTTTTTTTCTCTTTAAATAAAATTTTAAAAGATTATGTTACATAATATTTAAAACTACAGCATAACTACTCAAAACTTAGGAAAGTAGTAAATTTCATAGTATATAACATGATCAGAGTAATACAGTGATAGAAAGGCTTTCTTCTTTTCCTCAATAAAGCAATACCAGTACTGAAATATATATATCAGTTAACCTCAAACCTGTTCTATTCAGCCATCAAACTCTTGTGCTTTGTATAATGAAATACTATCATATAAACTGCTTTTGTGCTATTAAGAAATTGGAATTCAAAATACTATTTTTCAAGGTTCTGGAACCAACCATATTAAAGTTTTTTCTATAGAATTAATAATGATACATATCCCAAACCTTTCAGTGATTCTACTTTTTAAAACTAAAAAAAATGAAGAGGCTTCATAATGTTAAGAGGAAGACACAAGAGATCTTTTTCCAAGTGTCCAGTAATATACTAGTACAATACAAAAAGATGGGAATGAAAACCCAGCCAATAACAATGCTCTGTGTTAAATGTGAAGGGCAGATCGCTAATGTGATCCTTATTTGGTTCAACTGCTGTCAACTTGACTGTCCCTACCACCTCGCGAACCCCATCCCGCACCCCCAGTCATCAGAGGAAGATCCTTCATTGACTTAGCAACACAAATTTCTAAGAGCTGTGTCATGGTCCATCACAGCAAGAAACTGCTGTGAGCCGCAAGTGAGTCAAAGTTACTTTATGATAGTGACATAGCATTTATGTGTAATGATTTAGATCTGAAGCAAAACTGTACTAATTTGAGTGAAGAGAGCAAGCTTAATACGAAAATATTCTCCTTTTTACATGTTCAAAAACAGACATTTTATACCAGAATTCTTCCTCCTGGTTGTCCTTACTGTATCAGGCTGAATATATAGCTACCAGGCAAGGGTCCAGGCTATTCCAGATACAGTTTTTTTTACCCCCTTACTGCTGCCTGTATATACTATAAGGGCATGCTCCAGAAAACACTGTGCCCTCCTATCTGTCTGTGTTGATGCCTCAAGCACACATCACCATTCATTCAAAGCTCTGGGGACTCTTGAAAGGGCCCTGAAAACTAGGTTGTTCCTCTACAACAAGAAATAGGCAGTCCTTCCATTTTAGAATTATTATGTATTTCCTTAACTGATATGGTAACTGATTATCATATTCAGAAGCAGATGTGTTACTGGCTATTTGAAATGTTTTCTGATTTTAAAAAAGTTATTACAGCTTTACAGATATCTAGATTAGTCCAAGGGAGTTTAATGAACCAGTTTTGCTCATACACAATGATAAGGGACCATGAAAGACCAGCATGTTTCTGTGGGGAAAATACACTTAGAGATTCAGAATCTCCTGTACTTAGCTCTGCAAAGATGCTGAAGCAGCACAGGGACAGATGAACAAGAAAGCAGCTAGTGGTCAGATGGAAAATCACTGCTGTGGAGCTGGGGTACACACACACACACACACACACACACACACACACACCCTCAGCCAATTCCCTTTTCTGTATCTTTTTGGTTTTATATCTGAGAACCAAATGGCTTCTCTTTATCCACTGAATCAAGCATTATTCTTCTTTCACAGCAAAACAGAACCCACAGATTTTTTTAATCTTTAAGATACATTTTTCCCCACTTGGTAAAGACGGAAAAAATACACAGAGAATAAAAGGTTTTTATTATTACTTAAATGTGCTAGCTAGCAAGGATGGATGAGAGTAGCACAGGTAGTCACAGTATGTTTGTGTTTAAAAAGAATACCTCAGGGGCTGGGGATTTAGCTCAGCGGCAGAAGCGCCTGCCTTGCAAGCAGGCAGTCGTGAGTTCGATCCCCGGTACCGATAAAAATGAAAAAGACAAAAAAAAAAAGAATACCTCAGTATTTCAGAAAAAATTCAAACTCAGACTGACCTATATAACACAGACATAAGACTGAGGGACCATGTACTGGGGAGATAGGGCTCAGCACAGGTAAAGCAGAAGAGTTTGAGCCTTGGAGATAGTTCAGAATATGAGCAGTAAGAAATAAAGCGTTCAGCCCACTTACTGAGAACCAAATGGCTTCTCTTTATTCCTTGAGTCAAGCATTGTTCTTCTTTTACAGCAAAACAGAACCTACAGATTTTTTAATCTTTAAAAGATTTATTAAATACATTTTTACCACTTGCAGTATTTTTTAAACATGTGGGCTAAGTATCCTTTATCCAAAGTACTTGGAGCCTTCTTTTTGGATCTACGAATATTTGGATACACATATGAAATAGTTTGGGAATTAGACTCAAGTCTAAATTCAGTTTTGTATATGCCATAACAGCCTGAAGGTCACTGAGAAAAAATATATATACATACATATATATTTTTTAAATTTATTTTTTATTTTTATTTATTATTATTATTATTAATTATTTATTTTTGTGTTTTTTCGAGACAGGGTCTCTATGAGTTCAAGCTGGCCTTGAGCTCACTTTGTAGCCCAGGCTGGTCTTGAACTCGCAACGGTCCTCCTGCCTCAGCCTCCTTAGTGCTGGGATTTCAGGCATGAGCCACCATGCCTGGCTGGTCATTTAAGATATTATTTTAAGTAACTTTGTGCATGAAACACAGTAGCTTCATGACGTAGAGTTTTTTGTTTGTGGCAAGTCAGTACTAAATGAGTTTTGAATTTTGGAACATTTCAAATCTTTGGATTAAGGATGATGCTCAACTGCATATGCATGTGTTTTTCCTTTAAAGATAAATAACTTGAAAACAAAAATCCTTTCTGGAATGAAGATTCCTGGGTTTTTAAGTGAATAAGCCAATCTAACTATTACCTGAACCCTATGTATTCTATATGTAGATCTATAAAAAGCCTAAAATCTGTTTCTCTGGGTAGCAAATATCTATTCATACAACATGATGACTGTTCTGAGGAACCTTCCAAAACCCACTCAGCAGTCAGTCACCTCTCTGACCTTGCCTTCTTTGAAATCATCACATAATATTCACATATCTTCTCCCACCTCAGAAGACTATGACTGAGGATGAACACTGTATTTCCTATTTATCTACTTATAGGGTGAGGCACACAGTAGGCACTCAAAGGTCTGTTGAGGGAAGGAATCCACATAAAATCCTCAGTTTCTTAAAAATCTTACATTAACTGCCTGAGCACACAAAAAGGAAAAAAGCATTCCAATATGCACATGGAATGATTCAATCCTCAACTTTCAGTTATCAATAAGATCGTTCTTTTAAACTTAGGGAATAAGCTTGCCTGTATCTTTTGGGGGATGAAAGTAGGGTGTTGTAACTATTAATGAAATCCAAACATTTAACAAAAAAAAGACAGCCAGGCCTTTAAACTACTTTTATAGAGTGGCTTTCACAATTTTATCCTAGAATAGCTCAAAATATGCCCCAGAACTCTGTAAGTGTGACCCACCTTAAAAGACTCCATATCAGAAAGCAGACAGGCACTCTGCATGCGTGCTCGGAGGTGAGCCCCTTCTGCCGATGTACCTAATTTAGCTAAGACCTCAGACTGCTCTTCTAACAGATCTTCTGTCATAGGTGCTGGTTCCTGCGAAGCACAAAAAGACAAAGCTCATGGAGAGCCCTTTTTTAGACAAAACAGAACAGTAAAAATAGAATAAAGACAACAATTATTTTGTTCTCTAGTAGTCACAAGATATGTATTCGAAAGAATTCAGAGCAATGCACAAAGAATCTACTTTAAAAAAAAAAAAAAGAATAAACGTGATTGCTTAGGTCTCCTCCCCAAAACAGACAAGACTACCATGTTTCCTTTGAAAAGAAATTAAGAGCCAAAAGACAGAATATGTGTCCAATATATATTTTCTGGACTATTAGTGATGCAGAAACAAAGTCCTAATATTACTATATCAAGCATCACTGGAGGCAACAAAGGTTTTATTGTAAGCAATGGAAATCGGGTTCAACACAAGAAAAATGGGAGGGAACAGCTCTACCAATGATCATCTCAGATTATAGAATTATAAATTCTTTTTTTTTTTTTGCTCCCCAGTGAAGATACATCACTTTTAACTACCTGACATGTACCAAGCAATAATCAGTAAGACATAATGGAATGGTGGTTAGGCGCTTGGGCTCCAAAGGCAATTTGCTTGTGTTTATACCCAAGCTTCATGACCCTGGGCAATCATTCATCATTACTAAGACAAATGCTCAATAAAAACTATCAATTAAAAACAAAATACTTGATTATATTATAAATTTTATACTTTGACTAAAGAAAAGTATGCTTATTAAAATACAAGTGCAAAAATCACATGAATTTTTACTTAAACATTATACTTGATACCAGGGACCTTTTTCTGTTGGGGAAGAAGCTACTTTTCTTTGTCCTTTAGTCCTGAGATCACAGGATAGCAGCAAAGAAGGAGATATTGAAAGTATACTATTTTCCCACCTGGAAAGCTCAGCCTAATGTAGACAGTGAACATGATAAAAGGAGAATTAATATCAAAACTGCATGAGGACCATACATTTTCATTTATACTACTTCTGAATATGCCCAACGTTTTCTCAAATACATGATCTAAAATGATCACTGAGAAGGGATCAGGGCATTTTGTAAGTGATGAAAGAGGTGCAGATAAATAGAACCTTACAAAAGACTACTAAGGGGAAAACTACCAAAGAGCAAACTGAAAAGAAAACACAGCACTAAATGAAAAGGCATTAATTTTATTTTAAGAAAGTCTATGCTTCTAAACTTTCTCAGACACTCATTAACACAGTCAAATATAACAATTAGTTCATTAAAAGTAGGGACTACTGTTAATTAAAACAAAGGTAAAAACAAAAAATTAAACGTTGTTACATTAACACATAAAATACTTTAAATATAATATGTAACTAATCCTGAATAGACCAGAGTAATGTAAAACAGAGTAATATAAAAAAACTTAAAATTATAGATATGCTACAAGATAGAAATGCTTTCATACCTTCCACTTATTAACCATTCATGATAAAACTTTTTAGAGATTTTTTAAAGTATAATCAACTTACAATAATTTAATGGATGCATCTGAAAAATTATAACATGGATACACTCATGAAAACAATCACCGAGATGTTTATCAAGATGATAAATATATAATTCACCTCCAAAAGTTTCCTTATGTCCATTTTTACAATATCCACTAAAAAGGTGAATAAGCAAACTATGAAATATCCATGAAATAGAAATGAAATATAAAACTTCTAAACAATAAGAATGAATGAACTATTGTTACAGTAATGTATCAATAATTATGCGGAAAGAAATCATACTTAATAGTTGCTGTTATACAGCTTGGCCTGGTGAAATACACCTGTAATCCCACCACTCAGGAGCTGAGGCAGGAAGATTGCCATGAGTTCGAGGCCAGCCTGAATCAATATGGTGAAATCTTGCCTCAAAAAAGTGGCTGCTATTAATTTCAGAAAATGCAAACTACTCTATTTTGTTTTGGAGATGCGATTATGCTATGTTGACCAGGCTGGTTTCAAACTGCTGGGCTCAAGTGATCCTTCTGTCTCAGCCTGCCAGATAGGTAAAGACTGTGGGAATATATCACTGCACCCAGTTATTGTTTTTAAAATGAGGAAAAACAAGGCTCAGAAACAAATCACAATTTGTACTAGCAAAACTATAAATAATGGTGGTACATATATATCCAGTTCTGCTAGATTCCCAAGTCTAGGCCTACAAGAATTATAAAAGCTCCATAACAAAAGAAATACACTTACTTTTCAACATTACAAAATTCTGTTTTATAAACCCTCACGTATCCCATTCCAGAACCGCTGAGCCCATTTGCACACACTTATCCAGGGGCCTATGCTTGCATAAGACAAATGGTAAACTAGGCTTCTAGACATGATGGACCCAGGCAGTTAAAGAGAAGGCCTTATTCAGAAGTTGTGATGTCTGAATTGCAAATAAAGGAGATTGTCTGAAGCATAAACATTAGAAAAGGAGAGTTAAATATCAATTATTCAAGTTTCTAATATAAGTTGCTAGAAAAATAGTAAATTAATTCCAAGAAAAAAAGGAGGAAATAATGGAATCAACATGAATAGAGAAAAATCAATAATGAAACAATACAAACAGAGAAAAATCAAAACTAAAAGTTGTTTTTTGGGGGGGTAAGAGATTAAAAATATCAAATTTGCTCTTTGGGAACAAAAGAGGTACTATATACAAAATACCAATTTTAAAATTTGAAGATCCTTATAAATTCTACAGATACTAACAATTATTCAGACATTACAAAAGAATATAAGCACCTAAAAAACTGAAAATGTGGGCTAGGGGTTTAGCTCAGTGGCTCAAGGACTTGGCTGGTAAGCACAAGGTCGTGAGTTCGATCCCCAGTACCAAACCAAACCAAACCAAACCAAACGAGGTGTGATTCCTTATAGATTCTACAGATATTAACAATTGTAAAGACACTATATAAAATATAAGCACTATGAAAGAATATAAGACACTACAAAATATAAGCAGGAGGATTGCTGAGAGTTCAGGGTTAAATTGGGCTACACAGTGAGTCCAGACCAGACTAAACTATGCTGCAAGACCCTGTCTCAAACAAATAAACAAATACCTACTTTGCACCACAAAATGAAACACTGGTACAAAAAAGCTTTATAGATGGAAGACATTTCACAGCCTCAAGATTAAGATGTCAGTTTTCTACAACTGGATCTAAAATTGATACAGTAAGAATCAAAATCCCTACAGGGATTTTAATACATACTTTGTATGGAAAAATGACAAGCTGATTCTCAAACTGATATAAAAATACAAAGGTTCTATGATAGCCAGTATAACTACGAAAAAGGATAACTGATAGTATTAGACAACAAGATCCGTTATGAAGGGCTGGGGATTTAACTCTGTCATAAGCACATGCCTGGCAAGTGTGGGGTCATGAGTTTGATCCCTAGTACCAAAAACAAAACAAAACAAAGCAAAGCAAAGCAAAGCAAAACAAAACAAAACAAAACAGAACAAAACACCTGTTATTAAGCTACAGGAATAGTGACACTGTTATTGACACAAGAACTGACAGAAACCAATGAAATGACATAGAGAGTTCAGAAATGGACCAACACAGTCTTGACTACACACATGTATCTACAGAGATACCTCTGCCACTCAGTGAGTACGGCAGATATTTCTGATAATAGTGATAGAATAATCTGATGACGAACCAAAAAAATCAATCTTTTTATATCAAATGTGTAATTAATTTGAGATAGATCACAAGCATAAATACAATAATGAAAAGAATAAAGCTTCCAGAAGAAAACATAAAGAGAACATCTTCAGAATCTTAGGGTAGGCAAAGATTTCAGTGGAACACATAAAGCACTATTTACATATGAAAAGCACTGGTAGATCAGACCTTTTAAAATTAAGAACAACTGCTCAGAGGCATAAACACCTGTCTAGCAAATGTGAAATTTTGAGTTCGATCTCCAGTATAAAAAAAACAACTTTTTTTCTTTTTGAAAAGGTTTCACTATGCAGTTCAGGCTGGCCTTGAATTCAGTTTGCAGCCCAGGCTGGCCAGAACTCACAGCAATCCTCCTGGCCTCAGTCTCTCAAATGCTGGGATTACAGGAGTGTGCCACCATGCCTGGCCTGGAAAAAATGTTCGTAATACAAATACCTAAAGGTTTATATTTGTAATACATCTAAAGACGAGAAAGTATAAAGAATTCCTAAAAAAGCAAGAAAAAGTATTTTTTAAAAACACAGATGTAAGTCTTCAATAGGTATTTCATTAAAAAGATACCAAAATAGGCAAATAAATATATGAAAAAATACATTGATTAGCAATACTCATCATGGAAAAGTAAGTGACATAAAATCTCAGCTTCACCACAGAGGCAAAATTAAAGTTCCTAAAATATTAAGAGTGCAGAAAAGAGTTAATATAGCGGGCCTGAGACTGCTATCCTTAAAAAAGATTTGCCTTTATCTGACATGTGGGAAGGACATACTGTTTACTTTCCTCATGTGAAGTCGATACATAACACTTAACTCCTTCTATCATCTTTCCTTCCCTTCCTCCCTCTCTTGATCCCCTTCCCATTTGAGAAAGATCTATTTCCCTACTTTTATTATCTATTCTTTTCCCCTATCTTTTATTTTGCTCTTTATTTGTAATTTAGATTTCTAAGAGAAACCATGAAACACTTAAGCTTGCATGACTGATTTATTTCACTTAATATTAACAGCTTCAAGGTGTTCTTCAAACACGATAAATTATCTACTTTAAACTTAGCTTTCGCATGACTGTACAACCCAAACTTTTGAGATGGTTTTGGTAAGTTACTAAATTACCCTGGATGACTTTAAACTTGTGATCCTCCTGCCTCAGTCTCCCAGAGGCCAAGAGTATAGGCATATGCCACCACATCTGGAATAAACAATGACCTTTTAAGGAATTTTCCCTACCCCAAATCCTCTTACTAGGATGAAGTTACATTAACATGTTCCTGCTGGCTTTAACAGTGGTACAAATGGATCTTTTAAAAAAAGCTGCCTGATGGAGATAGTCACGAATGTACTGCTACTGGTGCTTCAAGTCACTCTACAGCAAGACATACAAATCATGGTCCTGTCATGAATGTGTTAAAAAATAACAAGAAGAAACTGACAGAAGCACTGCTTCCTACCTGGGTTACTGGAATGTACAGAGGTTCTCCATTATGTAGTAGTGTAAGTTTTCCATGCTGATAGAGACGTCCTTCTGGTTTTAAATTTGCCATCTCCTTAGGTCCTCCTTTCTTGCCACTCTCTTGTCCATTTCCTTTAAGTTCTTCTGTATCACTCAGGCATTCAAAAAATTCTTCTTCACTATCACTCCATGAATCCCAAGATTTTCCCATCTCCCCCTTCTCCGTATCTTTGAGATGATCCGGCCCCAGCTGATCTCCAATTTTTCCAGCATCCCCTGGATGTGCAATAGTTACAGTGTCGGAAGTACTTATTTTTTTCCCCTCATCACGTGCCTTCTTTCTTTCAATACAACAATTTAACATCTTAAGAAAACAAAAATGACATTATAGTTGAATTAGTTAACATAAAAATGAAAAATCTATTGCATACTTTTTCATTCTCTATTTCTTCTCAGACCCCTACTGTGAAGCACAGTTGCTCTAAGTGACTCATTGTAGCATAATGAGAATAGCCTATACCCATTATTATATTTAGTATTAGAATAAGCTCTGACTATATTAACACATTTATACACGGCTATTGGGAAATTTTACCTGCAGCTTCTGATGCAGTAAACAACATCTTAGATCTGGGGCTCCACTGGCCAATCTATCAAATAATGTGAAAAGAAAGATTAGCTTTAAAAAAATTGCTTTTTTTCGGCTGTATTATCACAATCTTTTACTATATTAATATGAAACAAAATTAGATTTCTATAGATAAGGAAACCAAATCCTAGAAGAGTGGCACATATGATGATTAAAAGATCAAACTTATTTTATCCTAGTCCTATCCCACAATCACCAGCAGCAAAAATAAAAGATACTTCAACACATAGGAAGCTGGTAATAGCTTTCTGGATAATAAAAAACTTAAAATGAGAGAGTCTCTAAATCAATCCCAGGAAGTAATTATCACACAGTTTCACACCACACAAAATAAATTAATGTGTATATTCAGCTCTCAATTACTGTGCTGGAGTCTCACTATGAAAACCAAGATTTTCACTCTGTCTTGCCAGTGGGACCTTTGAATGCTTCTATTTCTAAACCACTAGGTTCTTGGCAGTCAGCCAGAGGTTCTCATTTATAGTTAATACGCTTCTGGTTCTATAGTAAGTTCCAGAGCAAAACAGTAAGAAATAAGAGAGGACCCAGCTAATCAGAGACTGGCAAATGACATAATAAGCATATCTGAGCATTTTTGGAACAACTGCCATTTTACATTCTTCATACTATTATTATTTTCCTTAGCTTGGATAAATGATTACTAACTTATGCAAATTGACATATATGCTAACTAAAACCTTCTATTTATAAGAAATGTCAATAAACAGATACAGCACTATTCTTTTATGTTGATATTTAGGCTATTCCACTTATAAAAAATTATTATTATAATAAAGTTGCTGTAGTGAATACCTCATATCCAAGTTTCCGTTTTTCTAGGGCAGATTTCCTTAAAGGGGAAAACTACTTCAAGTGTTTGGTAACAAATAAAGATCCTATCTAAACAAATAGAAAAATTTATTACCCTGGAATGAGAAAGTTGTTTTCCCATCTGAAGCGCATTTCAAGAACAAATTCCTGCCAAAGATGTGCCACTCCTTTTAGGCCTCCATGGTAGAAATTGATCATACAAAGGCACAAAGCTAATTTGTATGTTAAACTGTCAGATGGTGCAGATTTGAACTGATTGTAGAGATTCTAAATTTAACAATATAAAGACAAAACAACATTTGTATACATAATAAAAACTGTAGAAATGTTAATACTAAAATTAACCTATTTTATGAAAACTATCTTTTATCAAATACTGTAACTACTGCTTACATAGTTCTTAGCAGATCTGTTTCCAAAATTTCTAGTTAAGATCAAAAAAGTAAAGCTATAGTTTAAATGAGGCTGAAGTTAAAGCTTTTATTTTCTTCTGTGGAATTTTAACATGTATTTCAAATTTCCTGTATTGTAAAACATTTTTTTAATTATAAAATGAGTACACTTGTCAAAATAAAATTGGCAAATTGAAAATGTGAGAGACCCTGCTTTCTTCCCTTACTACAGGAAATCTACTTTCCAACAAACTGTCATTTAAAGTTCTCATTTCTCAAAGATAGGGAGAATATGAAATTTTCATTTTACACATTTTGTTTTATTAAAGAGTTTTCTGGGGAATGGGGATATAGCTCAGTGGTAGAATGTTTGCCTAGGCATATGTGAGGGCACAGGTTCAAGCAAACAAAAAAAGTCTCCAGTTATGCTTGGTTTTGAAATACTATATATGAAAGAAGCTGTTACAAAACAAATGTAATGACTTTGTAAAAATGAGGAAAATCTTATATCCATGTACAGCAAATTTATATTATTTATCACTGTTCCCTGAAAAGTTTCTGCTACTCTAGTTATGCTAGTGTTCTGCAGGTCATTATCTGAGTGCAGGCTTTGACAGTCATTCAATTTTCCACAGGCCATTTTTAAAATAAAAAGGCTACCAAACTAGAAATATAAATGCTCCTAGAAATTCAATGTATTTAAAATATTTTAATATTAAATCCCAACTTACATAATCTTCACTGTCTGATGGAGGATTATTATGGTCTGTTGAAGTAGTTCCTTCTAATAGTTTCTCAGAAGCAGCATCAGGGAATAAGAACTTTACAGGGAAAAAGGAAAATATTCACATGTTAGACCATATTTCCTGTTTTGTTGATTTTTATAATTATACTGACACTAAATTTTACAATGTTTTTATTATTTATTATACTGGCCAACTAGTTCTACATTCTCTGAAATTTTACGTTTTTCTTCAAAAATACAAAGAACTTATGTAACTGGCCAATTTCAAAAATAGTTTTCATGAAAGTAACCATCTAATTCTCTTTTTTCTTTCTTTCTTCTTCTTTTGTTTTTTTTTTTTGTTTGTTTGTTTGTTTGTTTGTTTTTTGAGACAGTATCTTGCTATGCAGTTCAGGCTGGTCCTGAACTCACTGTATAGCCCAGGTTGGTCTTGAACTTGCAGTGATCCTCCTCTCAGCCTCTCAACTGCTGGAATTATAGGAGGATGCCAGCAGGTCTGGTTAGTAACCTTCTAATTCTGAGCTAAATAGTGAAAAGCAAAATCTCTTCACTGTGATTTTAGACTGTTACTTTTTTTTTTTTAAAGTGCTAGTATTATGAGACAAAACTATAGAGAATTTAAAGATGGTATTCATGAGAATCTGTAGTTATTTCATTAACAGGTTTTCATATGTGTCAGGCAAGTTCAACCCATGACCTGTGGGTTACATGGACTCCTGGGCAGATAATAATGCAGCTCCACAAGATCATAAAGTTTTATCTAACACTGTCATGTATTTTCTGTGTGATATCTTTCATAACTCTATTGCTTGGTGCACTAACCGTGTAGGTGCAACAGAACACTGAGTAGGGCAGGGCACAGTGCAGTGCTAATGCCAGCAATCACAGGTGAACTGAAATCCACCTGCATCAAAAGTTAGATGCATTTGTGCAACTTGGCAAGTAAAATGCAGCAGCAATTATTGGAAATAGCATTTCAACCTACCTATGTGTATATGTCTCTGAAGACAAACATTTATTGTAATTAAGCAGACACGTAAATTTTCTTATTTAAGTATTAAGTGTAGGTTATTTTTACAAAAATTTTAGAAAATTAGAATATAAAAAATAAAATTGGTCACTTACATACATTAACTGTATTGTATATTTTAAATGCAGTCCAAGATAAAAATTCTCCACTCATTTTAGGCCACGCAAGCCAAAAGAGTGGACAGCTGTCATATATGTAATACTCAAAGTGTGATATTAAAGACCTGTAACTGTGTGATGCATGCTTGGAAAATGAGCAGCAGTCTGTGACAACCAGTGTATCTTTTCTAAGTAGTTTCTGCTGTGTTGTGTGTGTGTGTGTGTGTGTGTGTATACAGGGAGAAGTGGTTAACATTTTTAGTATACATGACAAACTTTGTAATTTGAATAAACCTCTAAGGATTTATTCTGAAGAAACCTTTTCTAACAGAAATTTATTTTCAATCCCTTTATCAGTGTTGCTCCCAACTGTTTTGGTTGTGCTGACCACTAATTCCTATTATGTGTACCTTGGAACAAAGTATGAAACATTTTCGTAAGACTTTTTAACTGATATTCAATAGACTTAAAAAAATTAGCGAAAGTACTAGTAGTCAGATGTCAGTACTAGGCACATTTACAAAAATTAACCTATTGTCATACCATGGTCTGAGTTAAACATCACTATGCACATTTTATAATGTACCAGCTGAAAGTTTAGCTGAAGTCTGGTTCACACTGAGATTAACATTAGGCTTCCAAGGTCCAGTATCCTCTTCAATATAATATTAGTGTTGAATGTTTTTCCCAAGATAGTATTAATGCACAAATTGCCCTAAGTACAATTATAACTATGGTAAGAACAGCAATCATTTATCAAAAGCCTATTAAATGCTATGTAGTACCACAGACAGTCCTTTAATTCTTACAACAACCTCACAAAGTTTTGTTAGTCTTGCAAAATGAATTGCTCAGTCATCCAGGAAGTCAGGATTAGTATCTAGTCTGCCCATTCCAACACACTATAACTGGTAGCCACCCTAGCCTGCTTCTCTATCTCCATCTGCTCCTCACTAGACAGAATTCTCTACATTGTTATCAAATGCAACTCAAAAATATGAACTCTGATAATGTTATTATCTGCTTAAAATGATATTAAACTGCAAGATAAAAATGCAGTGCTTTAGCATAGCAGGTTACCTGCTACCTCTTCAGCCACATCCCTTGTCACTCCTAAGGAAGTACCCTATTAAATACCAACTGTTCAATATGCTCTCAGGTCTCTGCTATTCCTCTACTTCAAGAATCTTTTATTTTGGGCTGGGGATTTAGCTGGGCAGCATAAGTGCCTGCCTGGCAAGTGCGAGGTCATGAGTTCGATTCCCAGTACCAAAAAAACAAAAACCAAAAAATAACCTTTATTTCAACACTCAGCTCAAGTACCTCTTTATGAAGCAGTGTATGATTTCCATTCACCAGACCAAGACATATATAGCTTCTATGTTCTTACTGCCTCTTGCCAGACTTCACATGACACAGAGTTGTACCTTTTTTTCTTTCTTTTCCCATTAACTTGTTAGAATAATTTTGAAAGAAGATTTGTTTTACTCATTTTATATTCCCAATCTGGTGTCTACCACAAGGAAGGGACTGAATATATAAGGAATAAATGCTTATGCATATAAGTCATAAAGAAATAAGATAATTTAGTTACCAAAAGAATAGCATTGAGGACATCATTATTCAGGGGTGACTCTTCTACACCTCTGTGTTTTCGTATTTTCTTCTTTGCAGTGTGTACCATATTTGAAACTGATAATTTATGAATTGGAACTGGTGTTGGCTCTGTCAACTTTGACAAAGCATGAGTTATATCAGCAGTTTCTATAAAAAGAGGAGAAATGAATACCGACTGTATCACAATCTCAGCAGATTAAAGTGCTGAATAAATTGGTTACAGTATCGTTTAGCCGTTTTTCCATTAGTGTTACAGGGTCTCAGAATGAAAAAATTTTATCAGTTTAAGACACAAACATAAATGACAAAAGTAGTACATTATTTCTCTACAGGGTATTTTTAAAAAATGAGAGTCTCAAACTCTGCTTTTTAAAATATCTGACTTTTTGGTAGAAAGAACTTATTAGATGTATTAAATGTCTTAAGCTTTGGCAATACCCTGGAAAGAAATGATATCTGTTTAGTCCACAAAACTTGCTTTTCCAACATAATCAAAATGAGAAAAATAGATGAAAAGTTGCTGAAAAATGTGCCAAAGGAAAAGGATGAGACACTTAAAAATGTTTAAAAGAAAAATAAGTCACCTCTTCCTTCCTCCTCAAAGGTGGATCGTCCAAGAATTTCATCAGTTGACTCCTTTCGACGGCAAATTTTTAAAAATTCAGTAATAAAATCACCTACACAGAAAAAACAGTTACCTATTTTTGACAACTAAAAGAAATCAGTCCTATAAATAAAAATACATGACTTTTCATAAAAGTTTTTAACTAAAACACAGGAAAAAAATTAGTTTTTCCTCCGAAGAAGACAAAAATTAACCCTATTTCAAAAGCCGCCTGTTTTTCCTTTTTGTTTCCTCATGCTCTGGGATATTAAAAGTTTTACCTTAGAATTCCTTTTTGAATGAAAGGGGGGGAAATTATACTAATAATATAACCATTTTTAATATATTTGAATGAGATAAACATTATTAAAATTAAGCCCTGCAATTATTAAGTCATATAGGTATGTATGTAGCAGACTTATTACCCTACAATTCTGAATCCGTTAAAAATATAAATTAAAAAGAGACTCTAAAGATATGTTTCTAAAGGATTAAGATAAATAACATACGCTGAAGTATTTCAGCTTCTGCTACATATTGATATATTTCATGTCTTTAATATGAGGATATGGGTTTAATACTTCTAAGGAGTTGTGACAACATATGTTAGCATGAAATTAAAGCTTCACAAGACTAAATACAGCACTAAAATACAATGCAAGATGAATGGCTAAATCTTAGAATTTACCAGCTATGCTCAAACCATGTGGGACCCAGGATGAAGCCATACTGCTCTTCCTATGAGTTGGCAAAAGCCATGAGGGTCTGGGAGGAGTACAACAAGAAGCCAATTTGCCCTTCCTGTAAGCCACACAAACCATGAGGGGCCCAGGAAGAGAGAAGCCAGTTCATCCTTCCCATGAGCTGACTGGCATATGATCTGACAGTCAAGAAGCTGCCCCCTGGAGGTAGCCAGTTGGTTTGGAGGACAGGCTGAGTTGATAGCACCTGAGGTACACAAACAACTAAATGCTTGTACTGTTAGATTTTGTGGGCTTTAGGTTGGTAGTCTGAGCATCTATTAGAGGGTAACAGTGTGCAATATAGCAAATATGGTGGACTTCTTTCTATCTTGTTTTTGAAATCCAATGTTCTCACTGTTCAGTTTTGTTTTGTCTTATTTTATTTAATATTCTGTTTTAATTGGTTTTATTATTTTATTTGATTTTACTATGTCTGATGGTACAGACAACTATTGCACAGACAACAAGATATATTAATGTAGTCACTGTTGATTTCTTATTATCCTGTTTGAAGTTCTGTATCACATTCACTATTCTTTTTGGATTGGCTTTATTCTGTTGTATTTTGTTAGGTTTTATTCTCTTTAAAATAACAAGAATTTACTAACTAGTTCTATAATATGGATTTTTTTCAGGAAAGTAGGAAAAATTTTAATCTATTCATGAAAATTAGTAAAAGAGGTAGGTAAGGTTATGGAACAGTAAATTAAAATGAGAATACTTTCAATGGTAAAAGTGGTCTGCAATTTACCACACAAGTCAGTAGATGAGGAACAGGGTATCAGGAAACAATTTAGTAAGTAAAGTTCATAATGTAGTAATTCAATGATTTCACAACAGAAGCAATTTATTGTGCATTTACTATATGATAGACATTCTGTTAAATGTGATACATATATACACAACCATACAATTTCATTTGATTCCCCCAATAATTCTATGAAATACGATACCTTTTTTCCTGATGAGAATGCTAAGGCTTGACAGGGTTAAAAAACTTGCCCAAACTGGTGGTTTTAGGATATGAACCATGGTACCTTCAATTCTGAAACCATTTGCATTAACCTAGGGACTCCCTAAAGCCCCAAATTCATTGAAACAAATGTTCTTCACAACTAGCATAAAGGGCAACTGCTAACTGGCATCTGACTAATACACATGATTAATGATAGTCAGGTGTGGTGCTGCACACCTATAATCCCAATACTTGGGAAGCTGAGGCAGGAAGACTGCCTGCCTAAGGAGTTTGAGGCCAGCCTAAGCTACATGGCAAGACTCTCTCTTAAAAAACCCTCAATGAGTAAAAGCTTTAAAAAGAAAGAAAGAAAGAAAAAAAGAAAGAAAGAAAGAAAGAAACAAACAAACAAATGCTTTAGGGAAATATATGATCACTGTCATTAATATTTAGTAACTATCAGATGAATGGTTGAAATATATCAGACAATTAATTTTGAGTGTAAGTGGCATGAATGTAAGACATAAAGAAAAAGAAAATATTTTCATGTGTACTAAGTGTAATAGGGAAATATCCAAAGGTACACTCGGAAAGGTTGGAATATATCAGGCAATTAATTTTGAATGAAAGTGGCATGATGAACATAAGAAATGAAGAACATATTTTCACGTGTACTAAGTGTAATGGGGAAATATTCAAAGGGGAAAGGGTTGAGAAGACTTCACCATAAGAGATACACCCGTGAAAAAGGGAAGGGAGACAAATTACAGATATGGAATCTGAAAAGCAATTACTGTACTGTTTTTTAAATGTATGTTACACAATGTGTATTATTTCACTTAATCCTGAGGCAGGAGACTAGGGTGTGGCAAAACTCGGTGGAAAAGTACATAAGTATAACTTGTTATTACAAAATTCTAGAACAGTTCCCAAAGCCTTGCACTTACACTTCTCAAAAGAACTCAAGATTTTCTATAGGAGGCTTAAAACCTGATGCCAGCCTCAGAAGACAGAAATACAAAGGAACAGCCTACATTGAGATTTGTTTCCCACTGTATTCTTTCACGGTAGTCCACTCTCATTCTGAAGAGCATACTTTTTACTTGACCCAAACACTCCACATAGCCTGTTTCTTTTCCTAGCCATTAATATACATAAACCTTTACTACTGATGATGCTTATCTTGACCAGTTCTTTTTCTCCTCCAATCAGATTTTATTGGTACATTTTATATATACAATGATCACACTCAGAGAGAATCTGTACCTGTACATGACACAACTTGATTTTTCTCATTCCCCTCCCCTCTCTTCAACGCCTCCCCTCCTCATTTACAAAATCAATTTTCATTTCTTTGTCTTTTAAACTTTTTTTACTTTTCCTTTCTTTTTTTCCTAAGCTCTCCCTATTTGAACATTTTCTTCCTATTTCAGAATACCTAATATACATTTTAGTCTTTATTTATGCTTTTGGTTTCTCACACCAAAGAAATGATGCAGTATTTACATGCCTGTCCAATTTATTTCACTTAAGATTATAGTCTCATAGTGCATCCATTTCCCTAAGAATGTCTCAAGTTTATCCTTCTTTACATCAGAACAGTGTTCTATCATATTAAAAAAAAAAACGTATCTTCTTTATCCATTCACCAGTTGATAAGCATTTGAGCTGTTTCCAAGATTTGGCTATTACAAACTGTGCCACTATAAACATGGGTGTGCATACATCACTGTGGAATAACCCTTTTTAATTCTTTCAAGAAAATGCTTAGAAGGGATACAGCTGGGTCAAACTGGACCTTTAGTCTTAGTTTTTTGAGGAATCTCCACACTGATCTTCACAGTGGTTGTACTAGTCTATACTCCCACCAACAGTGGAAAAGGGTTCCTTTTTCCCTACAACCTGAACAGCATTTGTTGTTGCTTGATTTTTCTTTTTTCTTTTTTTTTTTTTTTTGTCTTTTAGAGACAGGGTCTCTTTATGCAGTTCAGGTTGGCCTTGAGCTCATTTTGTAGCCTAGGCTGGTCTCAAATTCGCAACCATCCCCCTGCCTCAGCCTCCCTAATGCTGGGATTACAGGCACGAGCCACCAGGCCTGGCCTTGTTTTTGGTTGATTTCTTGATGACAGCAATTCTTTCTGGAGGCAGATGGAATCTCAATGTTGTTTTAACCTGCATTTCTTCAATGACCAGTGACATTTACCATTTTTTCATGTATTTACTTGCTGTTCATACTTGTATATCTGAGAAGTGTGTGTATTCATCTCAGGTGCCCAGTTTTGGATTTGGTCTTTAAAATGGGGGGGGGGGTCCTGATTGATCCATTCTTTATGCAGCACAGAAAAAAACTAGAAGTGACCTCCAGAAGACTCCAAAACCCAAAAACCTAGGAATAATCCTTCAAATAACCTTATGAAATATATTATGTATATTTATACCTATTTTCCATGAAAGTAAATAGTTTGTAGGTATGAAAACTTCTACAGAAGAAGTCTAACAAAGACTGTCAAAATCAGTGCTTTTCCCATTATATACCACAGGTCAGAGGAACTACAAAAGGGAAAGCGAAACCCACTAACTAAAAAATGCAGACAATGCTAGGAGGAAAGGAAGGGACGAACACAAAAGCATAACAAACAAACAAACAAAAAAACAACAAAAAACTGAGATGAGAAAATAATGGCGAATTCTGAGATGAAGATTCATTAAAACTAAAAGATGAGAAAGAAATCCTGCTAGTGCTATTCAAAAGGTTCACTACTGTTAGCAAAAATTTCTTCTACCTTGTGCTAATTCAGAGGATCATAAATTTAAAACACTTTTTTTCCTAGGTAGGTGAAAAGAAGTGCAGTATATACAAACACCTACATTTATAGCAGCACGATTTGTAATAGCTAAATCTTGGAAACAGGCTAGATGCCCATCAAAGGATAGATAAAGAAAATGTGGTATAAAGGAATGCTACTCTGCCATAAAGAAGGGTAACTTGTGACATTTTTAGATAAATGGATTCACTTTGAGACCATACTTTTAAGTGAAATCAATTGGACAGACATGTTTAAATATTGCATTGTTTCTCTTGTTGAGAAACTCAACAAGGGTAAATAAGGACCACAATGGATGAGATACTAGGAAATGGGAAAATGTTCAAATGGGAAGGAGAACAATGAAGTGAGGAGGAGAAAAGGGAGGAAGAGAAAAAAATGGGGAAAAATGGAAGCTTTTGTGAATGGGGAGGTGGAAAAAGAAGTTAAAGGGGAGGGGAAACGGAAAAAAAGAATCTTGATGTATTACATAAAGGTATAAATTCTCTATGATGAATGTGATCATCATGTGTATTAAAAATGTACTGATAAAATTAACTTTTAGAAAAAGTACATTATAAATCAGGGTTCCTAATTTGGAAGACAAATGGACTAGTGACATTTTAGATAAGGAAGGTAATAACTTACCTAGCAAACACTGAGGATTATCTGCTTTCCTAACTCTAACAGACCAATGGGGAGCTTGAATAGGATCCAAATCACTAAAATGGAAAACAAAAAATGTAAGATCTCAATTATCACAACCCAAAAGATTCATGAACTTAACAAAACGCAATCTACTGAAAGATTTCTATAGAAAGCATAGCAATCCACTTTGATTCTCCTAAAACTTACTGCTACAGAGATAGCCATTTGGGCAAGTTTTTCCCCTGGTACTGAGGACTGAACTCAAGGTTTTCATATTGAGCTACATCCTAGCCATTTTAGCACTATAATCATTATCCTCAATGTCATGATTATGAAGCAGAGTCCTGCTAAAGTTGCCCAGACTGGGCTCAAATCCTCCTGCCTCAGACTCCCAGAAAGCTGGGAGTATAAGCATGTGCTACCATGCCGGACCTTGTTAAATTCTTAAAAAAGAAAATTTTGGTAAATCAAGTTCTTAGACAAATATAAATACCAAAATCAAAACACAAAAACCACTGGATGATGTGGCCGCATGCCTGAAAACCCAGCACTCAGAAGGCTGGGGCCGGAGAAATGCCATGAGTTCAAGGCCAGCCTGGACTACATGGTGAGACCTTGTCTCAAAAAAATGAAAATAAAATAAAATAAAATAAATACAGTAACCAAAAATTATATAAAAATTATTCTCAACAAGAAAAGTACCCCAATAATGAAATAATTTTAAAAGAAAATAAAAAAGAATGAGAAATAAGCAAGTATACACAAGCATTTCAAATAACCTGTTTTTTTAAACAGCACTATTATTAAAATGACTTTCAAAAACTTGCCCAAGATCAAAAGTACCCTCTTTTCTCAATTAAACAGATGACTGGATCTACTTAATGAGAAACTTTGGGACTATCTTTTGTGATTAGCACGAAAGATCTAAAATATATTAAAGAATAAAGCAAATTAATATAGGAATTTAAACTTTAAAAAGATACTGAGATGTTGGCTATTATTCTAAGTAATGGGATGTCAGGCAGTCTGCTTTTTTATGTGTAAATAATCTAAGACCATTCCAGTTACTTTTGCCATTAACAAACACAACAAATTTAATTATGAAAAGTGTTCTGTTTCACACTGTTTTGCATCCAAAATGGGAAAGTACTAAAATTGCCTTTCTTTTTTGCTACATTCTTCTCAGAGAATGGCTGGTGCAATTTTCAAGTTGTTTCCATTGCACATGGTGTATAGGCCATGGATGTTTTATTATTTACAACATTTAACAATTAAGCATTATTTTCACACATTCAGATGATCAACACCTCTTCAAAGTACTTCAGGAAATGTTTCTTTAAAACCTAAGACAAGTTCAAAAGAATTATGCACTGAATCTTAAGCTTAAAGACATCTTTGCTAAAACACAGTAAAATTCAAATTGTTTATTATATCCCCATACTAAAAATCACATCTCTCAAACCAGCAATCTAAAAGATATTTGTAATCCATACAGTATTAATAGATCTAAAGAGTGGAGACTTCCGGGAGAACATGGCGGATAGATAACAGCAGCTACAGTAGCTCTCTGAGATATCCAGATTAGATTCCAGGGATGGTGCAGTGTGGGAGATATACTCTGCCAACCCAGGAATAAACTAAGCTGAGAGAAACCAACTGGAAATGCAATCCCAGTGTTACAACTGGAACAGCTAAAGTATCAGTGGCGAAGCTGGAACCCGAGCCTCTGGAAACCGCGATTTGAATTTCCTGCCACCACTGCTACATCTGAATCGGCACAGTAGGGATAGACACACAAAAGCTCTGAGAGTGGGAATCAGTGAACCGAACTGAGAGCAGAGCTGCCAGGGAGCTCTGCATCGACCTGCGGTGAGCGAGAAGAACGGGACCCTTCCATAGACTAGGAGGCTCCAACAGAGGACATTCTGGGACCTGGCAGACTAGCTGGAACAGGACGCTGCAGTGACTTCAGTCACATATTCTCCTCTCAAGCGGGATTGATGGGGAGCGCTTGACCTGGGTGATGCGGTGGACTAAAAGACCCAGTAGGTTAGCCCAAACCAGGTCCCTGTGCCTGGCAGTGCACCCTAATGCAGTGAAGCCTTTAGCAGGTTGACTGATCTGGAAGGGCAGGCCCAGCAAAGGCTGCCCAGGTCTGTGTCTCCCTAGTACACTGCAGTGGGCGGGAACACCTAGTCGGCGCGATTCAAACAAACTGTAACACACAAAAAAAGAAACTGGGCCTCCTATATACACTTATATGGAAGAAACAGAAAGTATGGGAAGAGGGAGCAACAAGAAAGGGTCCTCAGTCCCCAATCCTGAGAACACTGATCCAGGAAAGGTAAATGCAAAGGAGAATGAAGACAGAAAACATGCAATATCAGGCATGGCACCAATAGACATAAAGTGATATCTCTGGGACCTCACAGACGAGTTCAAAAGTGAAGTATTCAATCAAGTAAAGCAAGATATAAGTAGAATAGTTAAGAAATACCAAGCACCTCCCAAGAAAAAACAGATGGTGGAATGGAAGAACAGAAAAAAAGGGGAGAATAGTATGATGGAGAAAATAGAGAAAACATAGAATACATGAAGCAGGTTCAAAGAGATTACCAGGAAACTAAAAATTATTGAAAGCTGGCATAACAGCTTGAAAGAAACTAAGGATAGATGATCTGAACTGGAGGACAGATTTGTTATGTGGGAGCATGAAAGAGTAGCTTCTTAAAAATAACAAGGAAACAAGTACTAACAATACAAAGGCTAGAAGATGTTAAGAGGATCTATAACTTAAGAATTAAGAATGTAAAGGAAGAAGCAGAGATGCAAACAAATGAACTACAAAGGCTACCCACAGAAATAATCAAGGAGAACTTCCCTAATATGGGAAAAGGCAAAGATACTCAGATCTATGAGGCATATACAGTCATCTACAACCCAAACAGAACTACACCAAAGCATATAATAATCAAAATTCCAGAAATCCAATATAAGAACAGAATATTAAAAGCTGTCAGAGACAAGAAACAGATCACTTACAAGGCAACACCCATCAGAATTACAGCAGACTTCTTGGCACAAACCATCAAATCACGAAGAGTGTGGGGCGAAATAATTCAAGCTTTGAAAGATAATAACCTCCAGCCAAGATTGATATATTCTGCACAACTGTCCCTAGAAATTAATGAAGAAACAAGGTGCTTCCAGGATAAAGAGGAACTAAGGGAATTTGCAACCATCAATTCAACTCTACAGAGAATACTGCAGGACATTCTAAAAGAGAAAAATACCAAGATTCCAGAAACAGTGGCAGAGAGGCCACAATGAATGGAGCAGAAAGCAAAATGAAGAAGACAAACTGACAACTGATGACAGAAAAAGAGCTCAACAGAAATGAGGCAGAGAAGGTTGGATGGTATGAACAGCTATTTTGGAGAAAACAAGACATAACAATAGCTAGCGCTGATTTAATATCATCTTGTTTTGAAGTCCCATCAAGCTTTTGTTCTTCTGTCCCCATTGGTCTTAACATGTTGTATCTTACTGGATTTTATTATATGTGACATATAAACAAAAATTTTTATAGACATTGTGCATTTTCTGTTAGTTGGTTCTAAATACCCTGTAATACTGTCATTCTCTTGAATGGTTTTACATTATCTTGGTATGTTTAATGCTACAGTATACAAAGTTAGACTCAAACATTTCAAGGAAAGAGACACTATGGTAACTACTTTTATGTTGGGATATCTTGTGGTGAAACACTTTTTGCTTAAAGGGTTATGTTCTGACCTGTGCTGTTTTGTTGTTATGTCCTCTTTTATCTCAGTCTCCTTGTTTATTATTTATATCTTTTTAATTAAGGGAAAAAATAAATAAAAAATAGCAGGATATATTATAGTAACCCACTTTGATTTCCTATTAACTTGATTTGAAATGCTGTATTGCTCTCACCATCTTGTTTTGACTGATTTTACTCTATTCTGTTCTGTTTGATAGTATCAATTTTGAAGGTATAGGCAACTATTTTGAAGGCACTAAGATTCACTATGATGCACATTCTGGTTTGACTATTATCTTCTTCTTTTTTTTTTATTTAAAGAGAAAGGAACAAAAAAAAATACATGGAGATAAAAAAGGGTAGAAATAATACAGAATTACAGAAAAATAAATGGTAAGAAATTGCCAGTTGATAAGTTACATATTGTCATCTTAGAAATAGCTGTTCAGGTTACAAAATTAAAATATATAAAATGACATTCAAATAGTGACACTGCCAACAGTTCTGCTCAATGACCCAAACTCAGTAATATGGTTATCAGTCCTACACACTTGTTTTTTTATCTTAAAGAGGGTAAGATTAAACATATCAAAACAGAACAAAACAGTTTAAAAAAAAAACAATTTCAAGAAATACAGATTTCAAAGCAAGTCCACTGGAGATCTTCAATGTCTATTTAATTGTCTAGTTTCTTCCAAATAGTTGTCCCCATCTTCACACACATTAAATACATACTGCATATTATAGAACTAATGAAATTATTACAGGATGATTGAAGGCTTTTTAGGTCTTCAAGATCTGACATTGGGGAAGACAATAATAACTACCATCACATTTCTCATTCTCTTCGTAGTAGTTATCCTTATCTTTACACATGCTGAAATTGAACTTAAGAGACTAGACTAATATCACTCTGATCAATGAATAACAGTATGGCTAGATTTTATATCACTGCTACAAAATTAGCATTGGGTTTCTTTTTTTTTTTTGTCTTTTTCGTTTTTATTGGTACCAGGGATCGAACTCATGACTGCCTGCTTGCAAGGCAGGCGCTTATGCCGCCGAGCTAAATTCCCAGCCCCTAGCATTCGGTTTCTTAGTGTCTCTTCTTCAGGGTATCTGTTCATTACATCTTGCATTATATAATCTGTTCCGGTAAAGTTTTTTTTTTTTTTCCCGTAAAAAGTTTTTTAAAACAAATCTTCTGCGTGAATTTCTACATGTATATCTATCCTCTCTGTATTATAGGGGAAAACAAATCATAACAAGACAGCAAAACAAATTCCTAGAAAAACATGCAGTGAAAAAGATACATAAGACCATAATATTAGGTGATCTACTGTAGTTACTATGCTTTCTTTTGTTATTTTCAATAGTCTTGTCCACATCATCGGGCTTAAAATAGTTGAACATAGTATTACCTAGCTATTTTTATAATAACACAACTTTGAAGACATTGTAGGACTTGAGAGCTATTAATAATTAATACTGGTATGGATATCTTTTACATCTTGTCATCTTCAGAGTAGCTACCTCTACTTTTAGGTTTGATACTATTAAGCATATCAAATTCAAATAAAATCAGCCAAGGCAAAACCACGGTCTTATGAATTGGATTCAAATAAGATCAGTCATAGTAAGACAATATAAGTATACAGGATTTCAGCTTAAGTTAATAGAAAATTAAGGATAGTTACCATGGTATAATCTGCTATTTTTGGGTCAGATGTCTGTGCCCCCAAATCCAGTATGAGTGGACAGACCAGAACAAATTAAATTCAAACTAAACAGGACGTTAAGACTGTAACTTTTAAATCCTGATACACTATTAACAATGACCTCTGCCTTTTTTTATAGTGTATCAAAGCTATGTATACTAAAGCCTATAGCTTACCGTCTCTGCCTCATGTCTGCTACTCCACTTTACTGCTATAATTTGTCCACCTTACTCCCTCTTTCCACTGTTTGCCCTGTTCATTGAGGCCTCTCTGCCACTGTTGTTGGAATGCTGGTATCCCTTCCTTTCTCTGGAATGTCCTTCAGCACTCTCTGTAGGGTTGGGTTGGTGGCTACGAACTCCCACAGTTCCTCCTTGTCTTGGAAGCATCTTATTTCTCCATTAATTTTGAGAGAGAGTTTTGACAGGTATATGAGTCTTGGTTGCATATTATTTTGTTTCAGGACTTGGAATATTTCTCCCCATTCCCTTTTTGACTTAAGAGTTTGTGTTGATAAGTCTGTTGTTATTTTGATAATTTTCCCATTGTAGGTAATCTGCTTTTTTTTCTCTGGCTGCTTCTAATATTCTGTTCTTTTGGTGGATTTCTAGAATCTTGATTATTACATGTCTGGGTGTAGATCTGTTTTGGTTGTAGGTAGCTGGTGTTCTGTATGCCTCTTTTATCTGGATATCATTTCTTTTTGCTATACATGGGAAATTTTGCTTTAATATACCTGTGAATATTCTTTGTATTTCATTTTTGGTTGCTCCTGCTTCCTCACTCACATTCTTTATTCTTAAATTATGTATCCTTTTGTCATCTTCTAGCCTTTGAATTATTTCTTTCTGGTTCCTTGTTATTTTTAAGAGGTCTTTTCTTTCATGATCATATATGATAAATCTCTCTTCAAGTTTCAAAAGGCTGACTTAAGTTTCTGTCAAGGCATTTTTCCAGTGTTCAATGGAGTTTTTAGTTTCCTGGTATTCTCTTCAGATCTGTTTCCTGTATTCTAAGTTATGTTTAAATTCTTCTTTAGAAGTTTCTCTTTCTTTTCTGATTTCCTCAGTCCTTCCATCTGTGTTCTCTTGGGTGAGGCTTGTCATTTCTTTAATTAATCTCTTTATATCTTGTCTCACTTGCATCAGGAGTACCGCTTTAAATTCATCTATGAGGTCATGGAGGTATTTTTTGATTTCAGCTGATGCCATGTCCAGTATTGGATGGTTACTGTGCTTCTTCTCTTCAGTGTTTACTTCTCCTGGGCTTATTTTCTCATGTTGGGCAGCTGGAGATTTTTTTTTTTATTTCTATCTCTTCTCATGTTTCTGGTTTCTTTCAGACTGGAGTGTTCTGGGGGTCTCTGGCCCTCTCTGTATTGCTTAGGGCCTTTCAGAAGTGTGTTGACTTGAGTTTTTGCTGTCCTCCCCAATTTGCTGTTACCTGGGGTAGGCAGGGATGCAGGGACACTGCAGGCTAGCCTCCAGCCTCTGTGCCAATCAATCTGCAAATGAGGCTGTACTATGTGGATGTCACAGAATCGTGACTATTTTGTATCTGCTTATTGAATCCCAACCAGAGGTTTGGTTCAGGCCCAGCAGATCCTGCCAGTTCTCTCTGTGCCAGAAGCAGCTGGCTAATAGTCACCATGGCACAGAGCTCTGCCCAAATCCCAGCTGTCCTCTTCCAGACCTCTCTGTGCCAGGAGCAACTATCTAATGTCACCGCAGCTGCGGGTCTGCCCAATTCCAAGATGTCCTCCACTAGTTCTATGTCGCTGATGCCGATACGGTACTGGGCTCTGCCCACTTTCAAGATGTCCTCCACCAGACCTCTCTATGCCAGGGGCAACTGTCTGATGTCACTGAGCCGCAGGCTCTGCCCAACTCCAAGATGTCTTCCATCAGACTCTCCATGTTATTGATGTTGCCGTGGTGGTGGGCTCTGCCCAACTCCCAAGATGTCTTCCAGCCAGCCACAGCAGTCGCAGGACCCAGTCCCCAGTACTCACCAGGACCCAGTGCAGGTCTTCCTCTTGAGTCTACAGCACACTACGCCACTTGCCTTCATCGCGTTCCCGACACAGCGTGGAACGGTCAGAAAACTGCAGTGCTGGCTTCGGAACTCCAGAGCTTCTCACAATCTCCTCCGGCACAGCCGGGCAGCCCTGGCTGCTTTGTGGGGTCCCAGGTCTCAATTTCCAGCAGTCACCAAAAGCCAATACAGCTTTTCTTCTTGGATCCGCTGGTCAGTGTGCCACATTAAAGATGTGGGATTTGCAGATTCCCGTTATCAGCCATCGCACTCTCAGCACAACCTTAAATCCTCCACCTGTGCTGTCTTGGTTAATAAGAATCATTATCCATTCATCTGGCCCTCTCCATGTTGTCCTATTCTAGCATCTAATATGATGTCTCCGGAGAGACTCTCTGCCCAATCCCCTAGCAAGCCGCCATTTTTGAAAAACACCTGTTCAGAAATTCTTTTGCATTGTTCTGTACAATGCACAAGAGTTTACCAGATGTTTGGGAAGCCTTCCTCCACTGAGAAACATCACTACACATCTCTGAATTCTTAGGACCTTTGCCACCACCTGATTGCACAGTTCATATAGTCTGCCTCTTCCTCACTGAGTGACTCCTGCTCTCCTGCCCTTCTTCTGAGTCAAGAATAAACAGGAAAAGGAACCCCACTCATTCTGTGGATAGAGGGGCTCCTAGGTTCTCTGCTAATCAGGTCACAGGACATCAAAACCACTAACTGAGATCTAGTTAGTATTCTGCTCCCAGTTTTTTGCTCAGAACCTGACTATTATCTTCTTTTGCAGACCTATAATGTCTCCAATGTTTTGGTTTTATTGGTTTTGTTCTTTACTGTTTTGTTCAATTTTATTATAACTGATGATATAGGCAATTCTTTTTAAGATAGCAAGAAGCATTATGGTAACCATTGTTGATCACCTTGAATTCTGTTTTTACATTGTACACTATGTCCATCCTTTTGATTTGACTGATTGTTTTGTTGTCACACTTCAAAACTGTTTTGTTCTCTTAAAAAAAAAAAGGAATAAGAACAGTAGAAGTAATAAAACCCAAAATGTATAATTGTCATTGTTAAAAAGAGAGGAAAAGAAAGTACTCTAAAGGATATAACTGCATGTATATTTAAGTGTATAAGACAGATAACCATATTACTGAGTTTTTGCTGGATCATTGAACAGAACTGTTTGCAGTCTGTTTGAATGTCCACTTTATACGCTTTAATTTTGTAACTTGAACAGCTATTTCTAAGATGATAATATGTAATCTATTAACTAGTGATTTTCTACTGGTTTTTTTGGAAATTCTGTATAACTTATACCCTTTTTCTGCTTTTTTTCTTTTTCCCTAAATAAAATTTAAAAGAAAATAGATCTGAAGAGTGACCTAAAAATAAATCAACCAACCTCATTAGAAACTGATGTAAACAAAAAAAGAAAATTATTAACTGCTGGTAGTTAATTTACTCTACTGAAGTTCTTTAACATACTTACGAATATACATCATTATCCACAATGATCCCTTCAGTCAGATGAGGCCAAGTAGTTGCTAAATGGAGTTCACTAAAATAAAACATAAAATATATCCAAAAGCTTTAATATTGTACACATGTCCTCTGATACAGCAAGTTTTCTAGAAATGTTATTTCTAGAAATAAATGTTATTTCCCTAAGGAAATAACCAAAGATGTATATACAATTTTTGTTAAAAGTGGCATTAAATATAAAATAATAAACTGAGAACAACTGGTTTAGCCAATAACAGCACATTTATATGAAGTTAATTTTCTGCAGATATTATAACTGCCATTAATAACCAAAGTGGTAAATAATTTAAATGTCTATCAACTTTTGAACAGATGAGTAAAATGTGGCATATTTATAGCTATTATTAAAGTACTGATTCATGCCAAAGTATGGCTAAATCTCAAAAACACAGTAAATAAAATAAGCCAGATACAAAAGGTTACATATTTGACTCCATCAAATGTTCAGAGCAGGCGAATCCATAGACAAGGAATAGATTAGTGTTTGCCTGGAATTGGAGGGTTTTAGATGAATTGCTAAAACTAATGGGCTAAGATTAAAAACCTTTCTTTTTGAGATAAATAAAATGTTTTATGATTACAGTAATGGTAACTGGACAACTCTATAAATATTAAAAAACCACTAAACTGTATACTTTAAAATGGTAAATTTTATGGAAGGTGAATTATATCTCACTTTTGAATAATATGTTACAGATCAAGAGCTGTCAAACTTTCTCTACAATGGGCCAGAGAGAGAACATTTTAGTTTTTGTGAACCAGGTATAGTATCTGTTGTATTCTTTTTTATTTTTTGGTACCAGGGATCAAACTCACGACCTCATGCTTGCCTCATGCATGCCAGGCAGGCACTTATACCACCGAGCCAAATCCCCAGCTCAGTATCTGCTGTATTCTTGTTTTGTTTTTCTTTTATATCCCTTAAGAATATGAAAACCATTCTGAGTTTATTAGCTTTACAAAACAAACTATCAGTCAGATTTGGGCCACATGTTTGTTTCTTCAAAACATTAAATTTCAGAAAGTTTACAAGTAGGATTATAAATTTAAGAAAGCAGATGTACTTCCTTATTTTTAGTACTATCTTCATTCCAACAGGCTACTGTATCATGAAGTATGGTAAAGTCAATGTCGATATAAGTTTAAAAAGGAAAACAATCCTATGATTCTAATGACAGGTTCAACGCCTTACCTAATAGGATCTTCACAGGCACCAAATGGTAACTTGCCAAACTCCAGCCCACCAACTTCTCCTCCTACCAGAGCATCTAAATCTAAACAAATGATGTATGTTTTTCCATTATTCAGCAAAAAAGAGGTATACAAAAATTTAATCTAGTTGGTTGTAATCTTTATAAGACTATAGCTTTAAAAGTGCCTATAACCAAGTACATATAATAAATTAGCAAGTTTAGAGCATGTTACAGTAAAGTGTTAAAAGATTTCTCCTAATGACAAGAATATAAGTAAAAATATAAACTTATTCTTAGTGTTTCATTTAAGCCATGTCTTTGAATTTAGCCTTCCAAGACAACTGTTATGTAGAGAATATTCCTGTAATTTTTCCAGTTTCTAAGGATTAATATAAGTATAAAAAAATTTAATTACCAGTCTATGTTCATTCGTTTTTGCTATCAATTTCTAAACAACAAATAAGCAGGATGGTTATTAATAAAAATGTATTTAAGTTGAAAGAATATGGAAATATTTCTAGTTCAAGGAAGAACCATACCTCTAATATATATGGTCTCTATAACTGACGGAGAACTTACAGGGTGAAACCACCCCCTTAGTACCCTCTGTCCTAAGAAACTAATAAACACTTCCTAAAAAGGCATTAAAAGGATTTAAAAATAACAGCAGTATTTAATTATTCACATTATACCAGAAATTCCTAAAACTGTATTGCTGAGTTATGAATATTCCTCATATTTGCTTAAATAACATTGACAATTGTGTATACCCTAAAATTAGCCATGAAATATGACCTTATTACTTGATATTAAATCTTCTCAATTCAATACATTCTACTTTTTCACCTAAAGACTGTTTATAATAATAAAACTCAATGATTACTTTTATTAGAAGATGTGAATTTTGATGAGCTTAAAATTTAAATAAGCATTTTCATAAATTGGGCAGTTAAAGATTAAACAGTTAAACAGTTGTGAACCAACAATGTAGAATGAAAACAACAAGGGAATAAGAGTTTGACCACTATGTGAATGTGAACATTACTGCTTAGTATTTGACATTAGGCTAGTTAACTAATATAATAAAACTCCTATCTTATAGTAAAATAAGAATAACAAAATACGGATATAAAATGACAAGTAGTTTCTAGCCTACCTTGCATGTCAGTCCTTCCCCTTTGTAACAGAAAATGTTATGAATTTACGTGGTCTTCAATCTACTGAAAGAGGTTTCTCTATTTTTAATTCTCATTTTTAAAAACTGGCAATAGGACACTAAGAAAAACCTTATTGGCAGTTAGAATTAAAATAAATAAAATTCTAGCTTTTGAGCTTCTTAGACAAACTACAACCACAATCACAACCCACAACCACCATGAGAAATCTTTTCTTTGTTTTTGGTGAGGGGTGCTAGGGGTTGAATCCATGGTCTTGCACTGAGATGACCCTAAAACTTCTTACCTTGGTATCATTTCCTTGGGAAATAAAATTATTGTCACAAACATGTGAGTGATCTTTTATTCCTTTGCTAGCTTAGATATAGTTCTTTTACTGTGTATTACAGTTTTCAAATTGTTCGGCAGTACATAAAATATACAACTGCCAAAGATTAAAGTACCTTACATTTATCTTAGTATCATCTCTAGTCTACAAATTATTACATTTAAACCTATAAATAACCACCTATTTGGATCAAAAATAAACAGTGAAGAATATTTCTTTAGGGGAAGAAGACAGAAAAATCTTTTCAAGGTAATAAAATCCTTATAATCATCTGTAAGTTTATATTAAATGTTTTTGAATACAATTATACTCACAGATAAAACATCTCAGAATTAAAACCTTAATTAGGATATATGTCTATTAGGCTGAGCCTTTTTAGAACCTTAGAAATGTCTTTCTTACATTTGTGTTGTTTGCATAGGCTGGCCTATTACATGCTAATAACTAATGACTACTAAATTAATTAGTTTATCAACAGCTAAGCAGACAAACTAATTTTTTTTTTTGGGGGGGGTCTTTTTGAGGCAGAGCTTCACTATGCAGTTCAGGCTGGGATTGAATTCACTTTGTAGCCCACACTGGCCTCAAACTTGCAGCAATCTTCCTGCTTCAGCCTCCCAGTGCTAGGATTACAGGCATGTACCACCACATCTGGTTTATGTTTTTATACAATGCAAGTTAAAGTAAAATATTTTGTAGTTTTTCCTGTGTGTATCTATACATAAGTAATTTTCTTCTCTGTTTTCTTTAATTCTCTCTAAACTTCACTCTCTAAGGTTTCCTACATGTTTATTCTTAGTTTATAAGGGTGGCTTCTTTTATTACACTGTTAAAAAAAAACAGACATTTTAATCATTCACTCCACAGTAATGTACAGCACATAATGTTCCACAGCAAGGGACACTTCATAAATAATAATTGGCTTTTAAAGACAGATTGTCAAATACAGAGTAATACTGTCTTCAGAAAACACATAAAGCTTTTAAGAGAAAATAGTTATAAGGCAAATATTATACTTAAAATGAATTACAAATATTTCTAATGTAAAACAACACTTTAAGTAATTTTAATTTCTGAATATATTTTCTTTTTCCATTTATATTTGATAAGTTAAATACAGTTCTAACCGATCTCACCTGGAGGTTGCTGAGGCCAAAAGTACTGCTGCCAATCCTGAAGCACATAGGTAAATCGAATAGCAATACTAACTGGAGGCAATGGAGTTAAAGGACATCCCTAGGAAATATATTCAAAGACAATATCATATAAATGCTGGGTCATTTTTTACACAAATTCAACATCCATACTTAAAACTTATGAAATGAGTAAAATATCCTTATGATAGATTTTCAGTTTACAATGTTAGATAGCAGTGTGCATAACCCAATCATTAATAAGGCAAAAAAAAAAATCATTGAAGTTATTAGGGTCAAATGGTGCAAAATTTAGGGAAATCAAGCAGGAAGACTCTGTAGTAAGAAACAGTATGATAATATGGGATCTAGTTTTTAAAAAATGGGTAAGTAAACTCGCCATAGACTATAATTTGTCCACATATTTGTGTACACGAGGGATTTTATAATTTTCATATAGTACTTCTATAGATGCTTTCTTTTGATGAAAGGTTTGTGTAGCTTTAAAAGAATGTTTTCAGCTAGGCACAGTGGTGTGCACCTATAGCTCAAGCTACTTAAGAGGCTGAAATAGAATAACTTGAGTTTAGGTGTTCAAGGTCAGCCTGGGCAACATACTAAGACCCTGCTACAAAAATAAAAAGCAAGCTAAGAATACTTTAAAAAACAATGCCATGGGACCAGGGATTTAGCTCAGTGGCACAAGCACCTGCCAGGCAGGCGCAAGGTTGCAAGTTGGATCCCCAGTCCCCAAAAAACAAAAAACAAACAAAAAAAACCAATGCCATGGAGTAAGTTAACACTGCTTAACTAAGGAACAGAAATATTAAATCCTATTAAGAAATTTGATCTTTCAAAATCTCTTTTATAATTTTATTATAAAATACAATTTTTACTGCTAATTTCTGAAACTGAATATGGAGGGGAAGTAATAAACTTTCTAAAAAGGTAAAACTAGGTTCAGGGAGATTGTATCTGTAAGTTAAATAAAAATAAACTAAAATTAAAGCCAATATTGGATCTTTCACTAGAGTAAGACAAGTGACCACTCACATAAAATGCATTATATTAATGATCAGTTAACAAAAGAATCTTAAATTAATCTTTAAATTTACCAAATGTCATGAAAATTAATACTACTATCTAATACCATCTTAGGGGCTACATTAAATGGGGCAGGACTTAAAACAGGTGTAGGAACTATGAAAGCAGCTTATATAAATACACACTCATGCCTCTTGTCCAGCTCAAATCAGTCTCCAGGCGTTGCTAATACTGCTGGTCTACAGACTACACTCTGAATAGCAAAGGATTAAACAAGTGATACTCAGCTGAGCAAAAGGATATACTGATGTCATTTGTAGGTTTAATATACAAACTCATGCTGAATTTGCAGTATCAGATGATTGATCCCTAAAAATTAACGTTAGGGTGCTGTGTACCAGACAAGCAAAGTAAGATTAGGATACATATAAGTTTTTAGGCAGGTTCAGATATCAAATGAGTGGGGCTGGGGGTTTAGCTCAGCGGAATAAGCACCTGCCTTGCAAGCAGGCGGTCGTGAGTTCGATATCCGGTACCGATAAAAATGAAAAAGATTAAAAAAAAAAAAACAAACAGATATCAAATGAGTGTTCAGCCATAGTAAGGTGCAAATGGTCTAGAAACCACAATAAGGTCATTTTGATAAATAACCTCTGTCCTAATTACAAAGCAATGCAGATATAGAGACAACCGAAAAGAAATAGCTAGGATCAAATATGACACATATATATTTATGTATCCTAGAAAAGCACAGAAAATCCAGGGAACAAGCAGAGCTCAAAGAACATGCCTACTGAGCTTTGGGTATGAAAGAAGGCAGTGATATCATAGGATTACAGACTATTATTAAGTGGGCACTGTATGTCTCTCTGCCTAAGACATTAGGACTTGTGACAAAGAAAACATGGGCTTGAGAGAAATAATTGTGTGACAGGGAAAGAAAATGGCACACATCATAAGTAGACAGCCCAAGGTTTTGATGCTAGATATGCAGTATTTCAATATCATCACAGAACAAGAGGTCCCAAATGCCATTTTAAGACCACGTTCTGAAATATGTTTTAAGTAGAACGCAACCACAGGATTCTAAAACCACTAGAAGTGGTGGTTTCTTTTTCTGAAGTATGCATACATTTTTTTGATGGACTCTATTTTTTTCCTGTCTTTTCTTTTTGGCAGTGCTGGGAGCAGTACTGAGGGACTTGGGCACACTAGGAAAGCACTTACCCACTGAACCCTATCCCAGCCCCATTACTTTGATGATTAAGCTCTAAATGTCTTTCTAACAAAGTCCATTTTAAAAATTTCAACATTTCTTTCCCATAAACTTTTTCTTTTAAGATTCTACTTGAGAGGTTGAAATACTCCTGCATAGGGTGCTTAACAAGAATTTATCTCAAAAACAAACAAAAAAACAGACCTGTGGACATAGCTCAGCACAAAGACCCTGCATTCAATACCTAATATTGTTCCACCAACCCCCCTTAAAACAAAAAACAAACCAACAGAAAACTAAAATCTCCAGAAAGGTAGGAAAACTAGTACAATGAACACTCACTATCAAACATTAACACTTTGCCTCAGATATACACATATAACAGTGCAATTTATTTTTGACTGAACTTCTGAAAAGCAGTAGGCATCATCATAGCTGACTTCTAAATACTTTAGCATGTAATGCCTAAGAACATGGGCATTCTCCTACATAATCATAACAGTTATCACACCAAAAAATTTGGCATGGATAGTATATCCTAATATACACTCCAGTCATGACTGCTGGGCATGGTGGCACATGCCTGTAATCCTAATACTTGGGAGGCTGAGGCAAAAAAAGGATCACCACTAATTCAAGGCCAGTCTGGATTACATTTTGAGACTCTGTCTCAAAACAAAACAAAACAAAACAATTAAAAAAAGCTGTCATGAGTATCTCCAATCAGATCTTTAATGGCTATTTGGTTTTAATCAAGTATTCAATCAAGAATCAAGTAATGTATTTACATGTCATATCTCACTGATCTCCTTCAATATTAGCAGCTCCTAAGTAAACTTTGGCTATCATGATGCTGACATTTTGAAGAGTCTAGACTGCCTGCTTGGTAAAACAGAGTTCACTTTGGAAATGTGATTTTTTTCCCTCCATTGTTTTAATTTTGGCAGGACGGCCACATAGGTGAAGATATAGCCTATTCAGTGAGCTACATCAGGAGACATATGAAGTTGGGCTGGGTTTTAACTGATTTACCTAATACATAAAGCATTACATTTGGCATCAATTAATCAAGTTTGATCACTTATTTAAGATGGTATCAAGTTTTGCACCAACACCCTAATTTTTCCTCAATAGCAGCATAGGTAAGTCCTTTTTTAAATAGAACACCAAAGATACATTCAGGACATCCCATTTAGCTTGCAGCTCTCAGTCACAGAATATGGAAGATTAAACCTTAAAATCAAATCAAAGAGTTGAAAAAGAAAAGGGCAATTCAGAACCAAGGAACTCAGTCAATGCCCCAAATGAGCAGCCATCCAAAGCCCTCCTACATTGGGGAGATTGGCAATATTACTGTTAAAGAATAAGAGTAGAATGTGATCAATTAATATAGACTGAACAAACAAAACAGATCAGTTTCTATTTTGTTTCTTTAAACATACATAGTAATTTAGACAATTATAGCCCTCTAATTAGTTACATTATTCGTACTACAGAGAAATGCTTCATATGATCAAATTATCAAATGGCTACTTTTATCTGGATCTCAAATAAGACTGACAATATCAATGCCAACTCACAATCTTTGATTTGAAGATATCCAGTAGACCTGATAAGTGAGTGTACTGATTTGGCACTTTTCGAAGATGAACCATTTCAAAATCAGTTCGGACACCAGGACCTTGACATTCTCCTACATACATTCTTCGCCATTTGTGATGTATTTGCACAAAAAGTGGTACCTGACTGCAGGACATGAGTAAATATGAAAAGAATGTAAGTTCACTAAATATTTAATAACTTCTTAAACTTGAAATTTTGCTGTGATATTTTAATTTCAATTATCTGAAAGATCTAAATAAGAATATTCCTCAAACATAGAATCTCATGCAAAAAAGTACTTAGCTCCTTTTCTCTGTGCTAAAAAGCTGAGAAAACAATCTGGTAGCACTTTAGTTAGAAAACTGTCCAGAATAGGTTAAATTCATAAAATGGCAATTAAAGTTTCCTTGAGTAACAATAATTATATATATGTCTTTCCAAATTTATGATAAACCTAATTGATAAGTATTTAATAATATAAATTAAACCAATTATGTAGTGAAATATTTACTATAACATTTACACAGCTGAAATTTACTCTTCACAGAGTTCAATACCTGAAAATTAGTCTCTTCACAAAAATGTACTTCTAACTCTCAAATCAACATTTACAGCACATGCAGTTATTTGCAGACATGTGCAGTGCAGCAAAATTCTGAGTAGCTTAACATTGTGTTCCCAGATAAATTCAAATAAGGTAATGCTCTGCCTATTTGTTTCAACTCTTAGACTACAGATAAAAAAATCTTTAAAATCCACTTAGAGCTATAATTTTTGGATTTTTATACATTTTGTTGATTTCACTCTGTATGGCCCCCAACCACAGTTCTGAAGACAATATTCTTTTTTTTTTTTTTTTGGTACCAGGATCAAACTCATGACCTTGCACTTGCCAGGCAGATGCTTACGCTGCTGCGCTAAATCCCCGTCTGAAGACAATATTCTTAAGTGCAAGAAAACCGGTATGCCTCATAGATAAAATACATGTTAGATAGTTATCGTGCTATTGTCTGAGTTCAATTCTAATGAATCAATAATATTTTTAAACACACATAAAACAGGGTCATCTATTAATTGCTGACAAAGGACTAATTGTGACCAGGACTGGTCACATTTTTGTCAGCAATTAGGACTGGACTGGTCACAATTTTGTCAGAGTGCTGCACAGTGGTAAAGCATTAGCTTAGTATGCTTGAGGACCTGGGTTCAGTTCTCACAACACTCTCCCTCTCTTACTCTCTCTCTCTCTTACACACACACACACACACACACACACACACACACACACACACACAGAGTTGTGACCAGGGATTTGCATGAATCAAACCGTGCATTTCTCCTAGAAAATGGCTCAGGATTTAATAAGTGTTTGTAGTGATTCTATGGAACATAACTACCTCAAACAATAAGAAAGGAGCATACAAACTTATCCCCAACTTAATATTGCTATATTAGTAAATGTTCTAAACATCTCTTTTTTTCTTTGTTTTTTTGTTTTGTCTTTTTGAGACAGGGCTGTACTCTGCAGTTCACGCTGGCCTTTAATTCACTTTACTGACCAAACTGGCCTTGAAAACTCACAGCAATGAGTGTTGGGATTACAGGTGTGTGCCACCAAACCCAGCAACCATTCCTTTTACTAAAACAAAACAAAACAAAACAAAACAACCCCTCAAATTACTCACTTTGGGTACATGTCAAAATATAGGGTATAGTACAAGCAACAGGATAAACTACAAAGTAGAGCCACACTAATATACTTACTTTTTCCCTAATAACTTTGCATGTAGACTCTCTCAGTCTATCTGACATATAAGTAAAATACAACTCAAAGTAGCAGAATGCTAATTTAGGAAATTTCATGTTCTTCAATATTTTCTTTTAAGAATAGGGTCTAAAAATACTTATAATCAAGTTTTTGGTAAGTTATTCCAAATAATATTTAAAATTCCTCAAGTTTTAAAATTAAGATTTTGTAGTACAATTTAATAAACTAAAATTTTCAGGAAAGCACAAAGATAGCAAATTTATTTTTCCTTCCACAAGTACACTGAATATTTCACTAAGATTCTCTACAGAAATGATTTCTGGCTGGGCCTGATGGAACACACCTGTAATCCCAGCTACCTGAGAGGATGAGATAGGATGAAAAGTTCGAGGCCAGCCTAGATAAATTATTCAGACCTTGTCTCAAAATAAAAAATAAGAGGTTTTGGGGATATAACTCTATTTTAGAGTGACCTTTAGGTTCAATCTTCAGTGCGACAAAAAAAAAAAAAAAAAAAAAGACAAAGGATGTTCAAAAAGGTTTCACTAATTTTGTCTTCATATACCAAATTTCAGGATACACAAGTATAGTTCCTAATGACTATTTGTTTAATAAATGATCACTAACAATGTTTTTTAGTTCATTGTTCCTCAGAACATCTACTTACCACCCAGTGTTTCCCAATGCAATGGAAACAGAACTCAGAAGAAGGTTGCACTTAGATTCACTGAGAACTGCATCACTGTGTGCAGCAGGGGCAATCACCACAAACTCACGTAGGCCATACCTTAAAGGAAGAATTATTGCATTAAGAAGAAGAAAAAAATGAAAGTGTATTATCTAAAAAATATAAAAAACTGTCCCCACAGGAAACATAGCTCAAATATACATAACAGATATTTTTTGTGCAGGAACAAAAGAAATAACCACCTGAATTGTCCTTAACACATTCATTATGGGGTCATACTTCCTCTCTCTCTCTCTCCTGGGCAGATTGAATCACTAGTGGTACAAGCCACCCTCTGTGATAATCATGAATGTACCACCAGTGGTTCAAGCCAGTGGGAATGTGTTTGAGAAGCACTTCCTTCACCAATCTACCAGCTCTCCATTATTCTTTTATTCTTAACAAATTAGAAGCAGTTTGCTGAAATCAGAAAAGACAGACCAGTAAGTAACAGTTCTGCCTTAAAAGCTTACAACATAAAAAACAGAAAGTAAGCACTAACATCTTACTTTAAACAACTAAAGTACTGTGTCCATCAATGTGGAAAGTAAAGTTTAACATTACCTAAATGGCAAGAAAAATAAATAAGTGGAAAATAATTATCACCTATCACCTAAGAACATAGTTATAGAGTATCCTAATTAAAGAATTCTTACATTCTTTTAGTAACACCTTCAGAAAAGAGTCAATCAGAAAATGTCTTATTTTTTCTATGGTGTCTGCACTGCTTTGTCATTTAGTTCCCAAGTCATTTAAAGCAATAAATTGGTGGCCAACTTTAAAAAAAAAACATAAGTTCAACTTGGTGATTTCTCTTGCCTACTGAAAATTCATCTAGCCGTGCCTCTACGCATTTTTATTTAACATTTTGTTAAAGAAAATAGGTGCGCATAAAAAATGGCAGAGTGACCCTAAATGTGAAACTTTTCCACTCTTACCTTGTTGTGTTCAAAATCACCTCTAGGAGTAGACACCAGTCCCACAAAGCCTGGTAACATATCTGGCTTAGCTGGCAACAAGACCACCAGGCCCCAAGATGAGTCAATGGAAACCTCATGAACCACATACTACAGATTCCACCAAATTGATCAGCGGGAAAAAATGTCAGCCCCATTTTAACTGTCTGAAGAAAAAGACCATCCAAAAACAAAAAGCTAGTCCTGTGAATGTCTGGAAGACCAGAAATTTTCTTAAAGAACCATGATTCCAATGTTGCTCTAACACAGATAAGAAAATGAGATCTTGTCTAAGGCCAAGGTTTCAGGCTATAGATAATTTATCTGACATCCTTCTTGGCCATATGTTCTTAACAGGAAGCATGGGAATCTGTTCTGCTGCTCTTATTTGGATGTGCCCAACTTAATGGTAAAGTTCACTAACTCTTTTCTCATTTTCTTTTTTTGAAAGGACAATTTATTTAAGGAATTTATAATCTAAAAGAGGACATAAAATTTTTTTTAAAAATTCATGTCAACCAGAGATTGCTTTGTAATTCCAGATTAATAAAAGAGTTAATTATAAATATTAAAGGCATAGTACCTCAAGAGAGCATTACGAGTTAGTAATACGTCTTTCTTTCCATAACAGATAGGATAATGATTGCAGGTGGCCTATTGTACTTTGTAACTATATATAAAAAAAAAAAGAAATTGGGAAATTTTAAGTAAAATAACCCCAAAGTCTATCTTATAGCAGGTCTTCTGAGTATGTAGATTGATCTGACAATTACTTCTGCAGTTTCTAAGTTCATAATCAGGATGGACATACTTAGGAACTGGCAGATCCTTCATATTTACTGTTTGATCTGAAATCTGAATGTTTCTGGTCCTGAGTATTTCAGGTAAGATATAATCAACCTGAATACACATTTGGTATGACTTCTAGATTTTTACTGGCCAGCTTGGACTGCCATATGACTGTTTCCTGCTGAAGTTTGGTTCTGGAGAGTTTTTCAGTCACACAAGGTCCTGTCTCAGAGGTGTCCTCCATCCCTTCCTGTGCTGCACTCTAACACCCCTGCAGCAGGTTTTGTTTTTGTGGTGTGGTTGCTACAAGAACAGCTTCAATATCACATAAAACTTGTGAGAAATTCAAATTCTCAGGTTCCACCCAATATGTACTGAATCAGAAATACCTCACTAGATCTTAGCAATCTGTGTTTTAACAAACCCTCAGTGGTAGTGAACCTCTGGTATACAAGTCAGAGTGGGCTATTTGTATCACTGAAAGCTCTAAAGCTTCTCAGCATCTTCTAACAGACTTTTTTCTCCAATCCACTGAGCCTTGAGATCTCAACATACTTGGACAGCACATAATCTCTACTAGGTAAGGCCTACAGTCTCTTCTAGCAGAAAGTGGATATGTGAAGAGTGAGACTTCCAGTCCTTCAGAACCTCATAAAGAACTATGAGGATGATGTCTTGCAAGGGAAAATGAGGCAGGAAGATAGGGTGTGGCTAAAACTGGCTGGAAAAGAAGGTATGGTGAACTCCCCAGACATATTCACAAAACCATTCCCGAAGCCCTGCATGCGGACTTCTTGTGAGAAGCTCTGCAAATTTTTGATAGTATGACCTAGACATGACACCAGTGTGAGAAATATGAAAAACGGACTGTCTCGGTTATGCACTTATTATCAGGTTTTTTCATGGTAGCCCACCCCATGCTGTTGAGTGTATTCATTTTTTTTTCTCCATTTTTTACTTTTACTTGGCCTGAGCTTGCTTTGCAGGGTCTGTTTTTTCCTACCTTTAATAAATGTGAAATTTTGTCATTTAAAAAAAAACCCGGACTGGGGATTTAGCTCAGCGGCATAAGCACCTGCCTTGCAAGTGTGTGGTCGTGAGTTCGATCCCTGGTACCGATAAAAAAGAAAAAGACAAAAAAACAAAAACAAAAACAAAAACAAAACAAAACAACCCAAAAAACAAAAAACAAAAGCCCCACTACATTCAGATAACACACTGAAGTAAAATCAGTTTCTTTTTAACTTATCGGAGAGTTGATAGCCTGTTTATTTGTATTAGGAACTCCTGTAGATTTGCAAAAAATGTTTCTCCAATATTGTACAGTTTTCAATCTCTCTATTCATTGTTTACTCTTTCTTTTGTGTTTTTGTGTGCCTCCCTAAGGGTTTTCTCTTGTCTGTATACTTTAGTAGCAAGTCAATAATTTGGATACAGATCACGCTCAAGCACCTAAGTCTATCAGGTTTCCACTTTCTGATAAATGATCTGTGTAGGTAAAGGAATGCATTTAAAGTTGCAAACTATTTTGGCTCTCCTCAGGTTCTGTGACACATGTAGTTTTCTTGTTATCCAAGATATGCACACCTCAGCCTTCCTCTGCATGCTCTCACACAGGCTCTCCCTATTAAATTTCTCATTAATCCATCAGTTGCCTTGATATTGATACTATAACTTAGCCTATAAAGGTACAGGTTTTTCCTAACTACTCTAGCCCAGTCTGTCATTTTTAGTTGTCAAGCCAGTGTTTACCTACTTAGAATCAAGTCTGACCATTTGGCAAAAGGGCTGGTGGGTTTTATGTCTACCATAGACTAGAAAGCTTTGAGCTTACTCACAGATTTTAAAGAAAAAAGATGATAGGACTAGCCACAGGAAGAGGCAGAAATGTTGCTTTTTGACAGTTTTATGTTTTTCAGGGCAGAGGGTACAGGGGCCAAACAGGACAAAGCTAACCACTTAATGCTACCATTAGCATAAGTCCTTTGAATAATCATAAAGTTAAATTACTTAAAAACCATAATTATTTAACCATAGAGTTTACAAGATTGCAGACTGTTTAAATTGTTGCTACTGCTCCTGCGCAGTGTCCCAAGTACAACTGAAGTTGAAGGCTTGTCTTTAAGACAAGGCTAGACAGCAACTAAATCATGGAGGGGCTAGAGTTTAGTTCAGTGGCACAGTGCCTGCCAGGTAAATGTGAGGTCCTGAGTTTGATCCCTGGTACCGGCCCCGCCAAAAAAAAAAAAAAAAAAGCCTGAACTACACAGACAAAAATTGTCTTTTGCTAAATTCAGCTGTCCTTTCAATGTATTTTTCTATTTTTTAAGCAGAACTTCCTAGGCCCCTTCTTTATTAGTTCATACTGTCATGTAACAAATTGGCACAATCTTGGATTGCTTAAAATACAGTATTATTCTTACAGTACTACAGGTCAGAAATCTAACACGGATATCATCAGCCTAAAATTAGGGTATCAACAAGACTGTTCCTTCTGGAAGCTCTTAGAAAAGTCAATCTTTTTTGTCTTTTTTTTTTTGGTTCACCTGACGTTCCCATTACAAGTATGCTTTAAGACACTCAACAGTTATCCATATACCTTTGAAATGGTATTCATTTTTCTCTAATTTTTCCCTCTCTGTTCTTTGATTGGATGGTTTCTTAATCTTTCAAACCTACTAAATTTAGAGTCAAGATTCTTGGGGGCTGGGGATTTAGCTCAGCGGCATAAGCACCTGCCTTGCAAGCAGGCAGTTGTGAGTTTGATCCCTGGTACCGATAAAAAGGAAAAAGACCAAAAAAAAAAAAAAAGATTCTTTAGGAGAGAATCTATTCCTTGCCGTTTTTCAAGGTCCATAGACTACCCAGTCCTGTGCTCCAGCCCCTTTTATTCCATCTTCAAAGCTACCAACACAAGGCTGAGTTCTTCTATTACATCTCTTGATATTAACTCTGTTCCATTTTCCAGAGTTCTTGACAATGTATTTGTGTCTACCATATAATCTATGATAAATCTCCCATCTTAGTGTCAGATGAATAGCAACATTAATTCCAGCTGATTCCATTATTTCTTCTTGAGGCTTAATCTATATTCACAGTTCCTAGGTTTCAGAACATGATTTTTTTTTGAGTCTGGGTGGCAGGGGTGAGAGGCTGAGGGTGGTGGTGGTATCTTTGTCCTGCCTACCACAATTTCTTACTAAAACTTCCATTCAGAAGAGATCTCAATTCACATTTTCCACATATCTGCACTTGCCAGGCAGGTGCTTGTGCTGCTGAACTAAACCCCCAGCCCCCCAATTCTAAGTTCTGTAG